AAGAGCAGGTCGCCAGGCATCAGATTGAAAGCCGGAGCCGATTCCTTGGCTGACGATTATTCTAGGCGGCAGCTCCATTCCCTGCAAGGCAGATTGGAAGTTGCATCCCCCGACCCCATAAACAACTTCTCCTTTGTTTTCGGCCTGCGCAAGCTGTTTTCAATCACCCGAACATTCTATCGACCTCATTTGATTCAACCTGTTCCCTTTCCACGGCGACTGCCTCGGGCGACCTGACCGGCGCAGTGCAGAAGCAGATCTAGCCCCTTACTTGCCATCGTCGCACAGGCTGCATCTCAGTCACCACGATGGACTTCTCCAACATATTGTACGTCCCAGGCTCATCGCGCGATGCCCGCAATACCATCGCTTGCCTTTTGCGGGAGCTAGTATACTGATGTCGGACTGCAGCCGGCTCGTCAACCTGGGCGTAGGTGGAATTATGGTATTGGGAGGTGCGTCAAGAGCTCGACCCTGCGCGCATCGCCTGCAAACGGCCACTGACTATGCCATAGGAATCAGTCAATTCTTCCCCATTGGCTTGTTGGTACCTCCTCACTCCGAGAGACACGTCGAATACTGAATGCAGCATAGCCGAAGCATCATAGTGGGCATCTACGTGATCATATTTGGACTGGGTGCGAGACAAGCCATTCAATAGCTCGGACTGAGGACAAGTACTGACTGAGAACACAGCTGTTGCTGGTCTTGAATTATTGCCACAAGTCCCACCATACCTCCCTAAATACGCGAGCTTTTTGTTCTCTTTCCTCGGCCGTGGCATCTGTCAGTTACCTAGACGCCCTGCGGAAGAAGGATGCTAACAGGTGCCAGTCTATATCTTTGTCGGTTGCATCATACTTGAGTCAGAACACGTTCTGCGAATCATCGCCGGCACCATCGTTGCAGCTGTCGGTGTGGGCTACTGTGCCCTCGAGTTTGCGCCTTCGATCGAACCACCATCCAACATGCGGGATGCGGATGCGGGCTGGGGCGCTGAACAAGTCTGAGATGGCGCATACGAGACGTTCGGCCGCGTAGGCGCAGGTCCCGAACTCATCGACTCCGATCAATCGTGGATCGAATGCCAACGGATCGATCAGCGAGGGTGGAGTTACGAGATACTGTATATTGCAGGCTTCGGCGCACTCGGACAGACTAGTCCGCAGCGGTGGGCTGCTCTGTGTATGAGAATTATCGTCCTGGGTCTGGATCGGGGTCAGGAGCTCCCTGGGCAGGAAAAGGAGAGCTTTGCGCTTGTGGAGCCATCTGTAGGGCCTTCTGCTGTTAATTACGCAGTAGCGTGGCTGGTGGACGGATAGGATCTGGGTGATACACGGCCCGGCAAGTCCAGGCTTTTGAAATATTTCTGACTAAACTCAAGGGCTGTCGCCCCGGTCGTCGGATGGATATTCCAGCAAATGCCATTTCCAAGACGGTTTCATGGCCAGGAGCCAGTTCCATTAAAAACGGGCTCCGCTCGACTAGGCGTCTTATGCTGGTTCGACTCGACATTTCGAGCATATGCGACGTCGCGGTCGTCCAGATGGTGTCCCTTGCTGAGTGGTGAGTGCACCGGTATTTTAGCCTCTCCGCAACGCAATAGACGTCAATCCATGGCGTCGTCATGCTGTCCCCGTCGAGCGAGCAATCGATTGTACTTCTGACACCCTTTGTTCTCGAGTCAGACGCTTGCTTCTTTCGATTGGTCAGATTGGCTCGGCGGAAATGCAATGTTCACGTGACCGCTCGCAACGTGGCCGTCGGCCAATCACGAACGAGGCAATTCGATTACGGCGTATGTCGCGACTTCGAACGTGGACTGTGCCGTCACTCTTGCCATCTAACAGGCGGCCCAGCATCTCGCTCGACCAGGTAGACCCGGCGCTTCACTCTCTGCCACCTTCTTGACCGCTCTCTTCCACGGCGGGCTGTTAATTCACGTCCCTCCGCGTGCTTTATCGCCAACGAGACTGACAGACTCCTCCACGGCTGGACGAACCCGCCCTCGACAGACAACGCTTCATAGTTGCCTAGATCCCTTTCTGGACAGGCCTCGCTCTGGCTTCGACGCCCGCACCGGTCAAGATCCGGCAACTGCTCGTTATCCCCGCCAGGAACCTGTCAAGGCCGGTCACTCTTCGTTCTGTCACTTCCTGGCCTCGACTCGCTCTTCGCGTGGATGAAGCGCGCGTTGGGCTGACCAGCAGAGGTTGAGCCGGCATGTTGGCCGTACGGAGTGCCATGGACCCATTGCACCACTCCTCTTCACTCGGTTCGGAGCAGGACAGTCTGATGCGTCAGCCCTCAGCCGAAGACCTGGATGCCGCTCATCAACTTGTATCCTCGGCGCTTGGTGAGCGCCATGTTTCTCATGCCACTAATGACAACCATGTGAACCTCGCTACCGACAACCCCTCGCCGCGCCAAGTCAGTCCCAGGCCAGAGCGCCCCGAACCGCAGCGCTCTCCTAGTGAAACTACGGAGCAGAGAGAGGATGCTTCTGGTCTGGCTCAAGTCTGCAGGTATGTCTTGTCCATTTGCGGGCGCCCAATCGCTTGACCCCCAGTATGCTTCTCTACTCTGGTCGGCGCCTGTTGCTTACACTACGTATAGCAACTGCGGGACCACCAAGACACCATTATGGCGACGGTCTCCGACGGGTCATACCATATGCAATGCATGTGGTCTCTACCTCAAGACCCGTAATGCGCCTAGACCTACCAATTCCAGACGCCAAACCTCAGTCACTCCTGGTGAAACTCCGCGGCAGAGAATCACGGCGTCTCCAGCCGGTTCAGCTCCTTCGACACCAGCCCAGCCCCAATCTTCGACCATACCTTATCGGTTACCCGAGCATACTTCAGGCACCTGTCCAGGCGGAGGAGAATGCAATGGAGCGGGTGGTGCTGAAGGATGCGGAGGATGCCCTGCGTACAACAACCGGGTCGCGAGGAGTAGTATGGCCTCGGCTCTTGCCAGTCAACAACCCGAAGATGGAGCAAGTGATGGGCAAAGCGACGCTGGGTCAAGTACTGCTCACGGCGCCTCCAATCCTTCGCCTCAGCCTCAAGCAGCACCCGGCAGCGTGGCGCTCGTTGTCGCGTGCAAGAATTGCGGGACGACGGTAACTCCTCTTTGGCGCCGCGACGAGCAAGGGCATCCTATCTGCAACGCTTGCGGACTGTACCACAAATTACACGGATCACATCGTCCGGTACAGATGAAGAAGTCGACCATCAAGAGACGGAAGAGAGTGGTTCCGGCATACCCCGACGCTCCAAGACCTGCCACTCAGCAGCCAGCGTCGGCCTCGCCAGAACCCACCCCGTCAGCGGCAGATGAGCATCAGGTACCGAGTGACAGCTCGCCGGCGCTGAAGCGGAGACGGCACCCCCCAACAGTGGATTACACTGGATACGTGCCTCAGTCCAGCCTGAGTGAGGCTCCACCTACCTCTCAGGATACCAGCGACCAGTATGCAATCAACCTTCAACGAGCGGCGGCGGCAGCAGGGGGCATGCAGCTGGACCCTGCCTTACTGGAAGCGGGTCGGCGTCGCCAAGAACAGGATGCGACTCACTCTGAAGCCCGTGCTGATGGTGCAGGTTCGGAAGAAGAGCGTAGCGCCCTCCGAGCGGAACGAAGAGCACAGTTGATGCGTGAAGCGGAGGTTATGAGGGCGGCTCTGCGTGCGAAGGAACGCGAGATCGATGATCTCACCTGACCACGTTGATTGGCCGATCGACCTGCAGATCTCCCAATCCTGGGCTGTGGTTTCCTGTTCCTGTCATTGCGAAAAGACTCTGGGATCCTCGAGGGAATTAAGGTTCGGCTGAACGGTTCGGTGAATGAATGCACAGCATGGCGCTGGTGGGAGATCGTCATTCATGGAGGGGCGCATGGCACGGCGAAACTGGCCAGGGATGGCGAATCATACATGTTCCAATCGTGTGGCGATGGGCTGCGTTCTGGGGTCTTACGCCTATCAGAGAGGGGAGGAGATTCATACGAAGATGCATGGGAACGCCTTGGCGCGGGATGACATTCGCCATCCATGGCGGTGTTGGCAAGGTACTCGTGCGTCGGCGCTGAGGCAGTCCCGAACATTGAAAACCATGAAATGAGTTCTCATCAACATTTCTTTGGTTGTCATCATCGCTGGCGGTCCTCAGTTGACAGACCATCACTTACGACGGGATGTCGCATAGAGGATATTTGCAAGGACACCGACCAACCCATAGTTTCATCTCAACATGCGCGCCCCCGTTCCCGATCCTCATCTACAGCAGTTACGCCCCTTTGTACAACTGCCTCGCGGTGTAGATTGCCTCTGGAAACCTCAATCGACGACCCCCCTCTGATAGAACATTCATATTGCACCGACGGACATCGTAGGCACCGTTCCAATAAAACAATGTCCCCCGTAGAAGCCAACCGTGCCACATACAAGCTACAATCGTCTGAGTAGCAGCCTGAGTCTGAGTCTGATTCGTCGCGAACAGCTCTCACCACACCACCGAGCATGCGCACGTGAATAGGTCGTACGCGGAGTTAATGAGCGGGCGAGCGAATGAATGAATCTCATGAATGGTAGCATAGATATTGTCGTAGGCCCAGTGTCGCGCGGTTCTCCCCACGCCTGCCCGTTTTTCGAGAAGGCCATGATATCCGATCTGCGGATAGATGTCTTTGACGCGTCCGGGCCCGGTTCCGCGTTCTCCAGAACCGCGGTATGAGGAGTTAACAACTCCTCCGGGACGGATGTTGGGGCAGTTCGCTCAGGACCCATAATTCGATTGAATTTCAACTAAAACTCCTTGGTGGCCGGCAGGCAGGCAGCGTTGGACTTTTCACTCAGAGCTATAACTTGATCAGCTAGCTAGCTCCTCGCTGATGGCGTTCGTTCAATCGATTCCCCGTGGCAGGTAGCGGTGGATCTTTAAGTCAGAACCATAACTTGATCAGCTAGCTCCTCGCTGACGGACGTTGGACTTTACTTAGAACCACAACTTGATCAGCTCCTCGCTGACGGCGTTAGTGGTCATGATGCCATTCTCGGTGATCAACGCCGAAATCAATTCCGGGGGCGTGATTTCGATCATCGGATCTTCGTCCTGTGCTGCTCGCTCCCGCTCCCGTTCCCGCTCTGTGTTCTCTCTCTCCTCAACCTCCGGAATGGCACTGGCAGATTTGCCCTCGGAAGCGAAGTAGTCGTCTCCCTTGCGCTCGTGGACGCCGTCCCCGTCACCAAAATCCGACGCCGCGTCCGAAGCCGGGTCCGAGAACTTCACCACGTCCTGCCTCACGCCCATGCGCGTCAAGTCTCCCGGCCCACATCCCAGAGGGAAGTTGCGCACGAATTTATACGACTCGACGCACACGTGCAGCGGGACGTGGAACGCCCGAGCGATGAGCCCTACGGCGTGGGATCCTAGGTCGGAGACGATGGCGCCGTTTTCGAGCACGGCACTCGCGCCCAGTAGGACTTGCGGCGGTGTCGACAGCGAGGACAGCGCGTACGGCAGGCCGTGCAGCGGGATCGTGGCCGTGGGGATGCCGAGAGCTGCGAGCTTGGAGAGTGATGCCTCTTCTAACGACGACACGGGGGAAGAAGAGGCTGCGCGCGTCACGCAAATCACGTCGAACGAGCGGGATTGCGAGGGCGAGTGCTCGGCCGCGTGCGTCAATACGGCGTGCACGACGCGCGAACACCCGAACGTGACGATCGTGGTGTGGCTGGTGCCGGTGCTGGCGTCCCTCTTGATGATGAATGGGAGGGCGTGCCGCGCGATCTTCGAGCGTGCGGTGCCTGCATTCTTGACGAACAGAGAGGACTGCGTGATGATGTGGTGCCTCAGGGTGGAGAAGTCCGAGTTCGTCAGCGACGACGGACGCTGCTGGAACGAACTGATCAGGTAGCGTTGGAAGAGGTCCGTCCCCGCCGACAGCGGGATCGGGTTCCTCTGGCTGGCGAGCAGTTTGCGGCTGTGCGTCGATAGGAGGGCGAGCGTCTCGGAGATGGTCGTCAAGGGGGAGGATGCCAGGAGGTTGATCAGCGACTCGATGGCCGCGATCGGGGGTGTGATGGTCGGGTCGTTGCGAATCAAGTCATTGTAAGTGGCTATTACGTCGAATTCTGTAGAAGGAGGTTTGTCTTCGGCGTCGATCGGCCGTGGCGCTGGCGACGTTGAAATCGGTGCTGTAGAAAGTGTGTTAGGAAGAAACGACTGTGCTGGTCGATCGAAGAGAAAGAGATGATTGATTTCGGTCGAGGAGTGAGATGTGGATGAATAAAGGAATGAGGCCACGTCAAGGCTTGTCACCAGCAAGATCGAAGAACTGCTGTACATGCCCTCTGTCTGGCGGTGGCCAGACGGACGTCCATCAGGGATGCAAGCATCAGACTTTGAGTCAAGGGTGGGAATTTCAGGCCGGGGGTCGAATTCACCTACCTGTAGCCATCACCGGCCACGCCAAGCACTGAACCGATGGAGACGTTTAACCCTCTTCTTCCAAGCGCTGCTGGTTCGAGATATGTGCCCTGCTGTGTCTGGTTGATGGCGGTCCGGAGATCAATCAGTCGCATTTGGGAGTCATGAAAGATTGGAGTTGGACAAGGCTGCGCGGAAGCCTCGTCGGCTATTGAGGTGCGGCGGCAACCGACGACTATTCCACTTTTGGACAGTCCAAACAATCACATGCGGTGGTCTGTACATTTCAGTGACCACAAGTACATTATCATATTGGCCATACTCCAGCTTGTCGCATTTGTTTGTCCTTCGCGTATTGGGCTAGCTCTGGGCCACCACACGTTTCCGTCAAGATGAATTCACAATATCGGAACTCGATCCAGCAGCAGCAGCGAGTGAAGAAGAAGGAAGAAGAGCCCGTGGATTTCATGAGACTTGTACGTCAGATGAATCCTTTGCATGAGGCCTTGCTGACAGCAGATTCAGTCGGACAAAGAAATCGCATCATGCATCAGCGAAATGGGCATCCCCTTCCAAGCATCCGACATCCTCAAACCCAACCCTCAAGTCATCCAAATGGTCTTCGAGCACCTCGGCGAACTAGTTATGACCACCACACGGGACACTCTTGATCCTGCCATGCGCGCCGCCGCCGAAGACGTGTGCTCAGAGTTCCCCGAGATTGTGCCCGTGGAAACACGATTGCTGATGGGCTTCTTTGTACAACTGAGGACCATGCTCGAACAGTGCGGAATTAACGATTTCTCCTTCAGCGACCTGGTTCGCCCGACCCACGATCGTCTGGCCAAGATTCTGTCCTATGCCATCAATTTTATTCGATTCCGGGAAACCCACACCAGTGTCATTGATGAGAACTTCCACAAGGCCGAGGCCACGAAAGCCAGGATTGAAACGCTGTACACGGAAAACCAGGACATGGAGCAGCGGTTGGAAGAGATGAAGCGGAACAGAAAGGCAATGGAGGTTGCTGTCAAAGAGAAGATGCGACGAAACGACGAATTGAAGGCCCGACTGTTGGAGCTTCGTAAGGGTCAGGAACGAGTCGCAGAGCAGCTGGAACGAGCCAAAGCTGAGAAGGCCCGGTCTCAGGCGACGCTGGAGGAGAAGACGGAAAGACTTGTACGAGCACGACAGGAGAGCGAGAAGTTAAGGCCCTATGTGCTTCAGAGCCCGGCCGCGCTGCAGAGTGCTTTGACCGAGCTGTCGGACAATCTGGTGCGGGAAAAGGCTCAGATTGATTCCTTGGAGCGCAGATGCCGCGCTCTCCAGACTTCTGGTGACAGCTTTACCGTCGTCCAGAACGATGTGCACGCTTGTGTCAAAGTGCTCGAAGAGATCGCGGTGGAACTTCAGAAGGAGGAGGAGGAAGACGCACGGGCGGCAAAGAATCGTGATGCTCTTGCGGAGCGGGGAAATAACGTCCGCGAGGTCGAGCAGAACGAGAAATTGCTCCAGCGGCAGCTGAAGAAGTGGGAAGAGCGGACCGAAGAATTGAGGCGAAAGCACAAAGACCGAGACGAAGCCAACAAAGCAAAGATGGACGAGTTGAGAGAACTTCAGAAGCACCTCCGGGAGGAACGAGCAGAGAAGGGTCGCGAGATGGAGAGGAGGAAAGTGAGGATCGAGCAAACGGAGAAGAAGGTAAGACTTTGCGCCACCCTATCTACCGACGTGTTCATGCTAATACCTCGCCAGATGGCTGATCTCAAGGACAACATCGAGCAAGAGGTCCACTCCGCACACGAGGAATACCTCAAACTTGAGTCCCACATCAAGCTATACATCACGGAAATGGAACAGAGCATATGAGCTGCTTGCTTTTTGCTTTCTGCTTACGACGCGCACGACAGAGTTGACGAGCTTGATGGATGGATGGATGATACCCGGTTGTCATGGTTCGACGCGCTGATTTTAGGCGTTATAGAGTCTGGGTGGGCAGGCATTTCCCAAGCACATCCCTAGGCTGCTCAAACAAGCATTTCTTCCTCAGAAAGACGGCTGTCCTGGCTTTTTCCCTCCACTGTGAACCACCTAGACGCGACTTTCATCACTGAGATGGTGCGGCGGCCCCAATTTTGACCCGCTTCACCTATCTTGATCGCTGCGCTGAGCAGCTGAACCTCAGCCCTCCAAAGCGCTGCACCACGGTGCGGATCTGAAGGGTCCCTGATATCCTTGCATTCCACCAGCTTCAGCGCGCGACCCGTCCGGTGGGTGGCAGAGACGGCAGTCGCCAAGGTCTGTGAGAGTCCTTGCAACGTGAACTCGGAGGTGCCGTGGTGCATGGCCAGCAGGTTGAGGACTATGATCGGACCGAGAGTTGGAGAGGATCCTGTCAGAGTGTGCACCAAGCCGGAGAGATAGCCCCGAAGAACAGTGATCGTTGGGCAGAAGATGAGGTTGACGTGCTGACTTGCGCTCAACACGTGGAGACTTCTTGACAGTAAGATGTGGTCCGGAGCCGGGGAGATGGGTTCATCTTGTGCGTCGTTGGCCTCGCGACGGTGGTGATGGAGCTCTGCTAGCACCTGACTGACGAATGCCTCTTTGGCCGAACATATGATCAGGTCAATCTGAGACTGCTGGGACTGCGGAGTCTGCTGGATGGTGTCCTCGAGGAGCTGCAAGATATAGTCGTGCTTGGTCCAAATTGCATTCATGAAGGCGCTGTGTAGTCATAGGCGCGCTTCCTGCCCTTCGCCATCGTCGTTCCCATACAGCTACTCGCACAATTGATTCGGGTTCAGAGACCGACGTGGGTGCGTGGCCATCAGTAAGAGATGAATGAGGGGCTTGGCAGCGACCGAAGCCTTGACGTCGCCTGCACCAAGCAAAATCAGCTCGTCTCTCTGACCCAATCTTTCACGTCGCACAGCCATGTCACGGTGACACAGACCTGAGCAGAGCAGCGACATCTCGGGATGGAGTCCGTCTCCCGTGTTGCGTCCTTGATGGACCCAGGTTGGTCACCATGGACCCATCTTGGCTTCAGTACACTGATCCCACCAAAGCACGAGACCTCACGGTCGAGGCCGCCCAAAGCATCTCAAAGGCCCTCAAAGGCGGAAGCGCGTCTGCGCGGAACAATATCCCCGCCGCAAAGCTCAAGGCGCTGCTCGACAGCAGAAGCGACCGCGATATTCTCGATGGCTTGAGACGGGTTGTTGCGGTATGGCGTAGAACTGTGCCTCGAAATGCGAACCCTCGCTCCCACTGATCACGCAAGCAGATGATTTACCAGAACAAACCCGCGATCACGTACTTCTCTTCCGTCGTCAAGAATGTCGCGAACCCCAACCTCGAGGTCAAGAAGCTGGTCTATGTCTATCTGCTTCATTATGCCGAATCCGACCCAGACCTGGCTTTGCTGTCCGTCAATGCCATCCAGAAGTCTCTCACAGACCAGAATCCTCAGGTGCGGGCGCTGGCCTTACGCACCATGTCGGGCATGAGAGTGCCTGTGATCAGCCAGATCGTGTCCCTCGCGATCAAGCGTGGCGCCGGGGACATGAGTCCAGTGGTCCGAAAGGCCGCTGCTCTGGCCATACCAAAGTGCTACAACCTCGATCCGAACTCGCTGCCACAACTGCTCGACTATATTTCGATTCTGCTTGGAGACAAGCAATACTACGTCGTCGGTCCGGCCGTGCAAGCCTTTCTGGAAATCTGTCCCGACCGAACGGACTTGATCCATCCGCACTATCGAAGCCTAGTCAAGAAACTTGTGGACATGGACGAATGGAGCCAACTGGGGACGCTGAAACTACTCCTTTTCTACAGCCGACGGTGTTTCCCACGGAGAACTCAGCGGGTCACCAAAGTCAACAAGAAGGGCTTCTATGATGACGAGGCGGACAAGACGGCGGAGACGGAGGAGACGATCCAGGTGTTAGATCCGGACTTGGAACTGTTCCTCAAGGCGTGTCGACCGCTACTGCAGAGCCGGAGCTCAGCCGTCATCATCGCCGTGACGGGTTGTTTCTTGTACTTGGGCACGCCCGAGTATCTCCGGGAGGCCGTTGGACCGCTGACGGGACTGATGCGCGGCCCACCTGAAGTGCAAGAAGTGGCTCTCTGCAACATCGTGCTGGTGGCTCTGGCGGCACCGGAGCTCTTTGTCCTCTATGCCTCGCATTTCCTCCTTCGAGCAAACGATTCGCCGCAGATCTGGAGACTGAAGATCGAGCTTCTAACCCTCATCTTCCCGCACGCGGCGTTGCACCTCAAGTCCATTATCCTAAGCGAGCTAGAGCACTTCTCGCACTCGTCCGACATTGAGTTGATCCGCGAGTCGGTCCGGGCCATCGGCCGATGCGCGCAGTCCGATCCGAAAAACGCCCACCGGTGCTTCAAAGTTCTGTTGAATCAGATCTCGAGCTTCGACAATGTGCTGGTCTCGGAAGTTCTCACCGTGATGCGGCACCTCATCCAGCAGGACCCGGCTTCGCATCGGAAGACCGTCGTCCGCCTGGCTAGGAACCTCGACAGGACGACCAGTCCCGAAGCCCGCGCCACAATCATCTGGCTGGTAGGCGAGTTCGCGAGCCTCGACCCCGACAACAACATCGCGCCAGACGTGTTGCGCATCTTGGTCAAAGGGTTCGCGGACGAGAACGAAACAGCGAAGCAGCAGATCGTCTTGCTGGCCGCCAAAGTCTACCTGCTGTACTTGCAGCAGAAGAAGGACGGTATCCCACCGTCGCCGCCGGACTCAAACACGAAGGATGACATGGGCGAAGAAACTCGTGAAGCCCTGGATACTCCAGTAGCTGACGCTGACCGGCACCCAATCCCCAACTTGTGGAACTACATCCAGGTGCTCTCCCGGTACGACACGTCTTACGACCTGCGCGATCGGGCGCGCCTGTTCAAGGCCCTGCTCGCGAACCCGTCGTCCGTCCAGCTGGCGACGTTGCTCCTTCTGGCTCCGAAGCCCGTGCCGCACTCGCCGTCCCCGTCGGAGAGCCGCAAAGGTTTGACACTGGGCAGCACCACCCTCGTCCTGGGCAAAGACGTCGCCGGCCTGCTCGGACTGCCGGGCTACGAGGAATTACCCGCCTGGGTCGCCGAGGGGTTGGAGCCGGATCCGAAACTCCGAGACGCCGGTGACGGGGCCGACAAGGACGAGTACGTGCCCGTCGGCGCGAGGAATACCGGCTCGGTCGCCGCGAGCAGGCGCCTCGAGGAGGCTGTCAAGGAGCAGGGGCTCGAGAAGGTGGTCGCGGCTGGAACGGCCAAGGCGAACACCAAGCCGAGGACTCTGGATGATTGGTTGGCCGAGAGTGAAGAGGAAGGAGAGAGCGAGGAGGAGACCGAGAGCGAAGAAACGGATGAAGAGGAGGACGATGAAGAGGAGGACGACGAGGAAGACGACGACGACGGAGAATCAGAAGAAGAGAGTGAAGGGGATGACGACAAGGGCGTGAGAAGGGGGTTGATCAGCTAAGTTTTAGCTAGTTACAGGCCTACTCTCGCGCCGTGAGATATTGCATACATACTGCATCCTTGACTTCGCTATGCAGGAGCAGCACCATCAACAGCAGCAGTAGCAGCATCAGAATCTCTACCAATGGGTTGTTTGAACCTGCGCGATGCAGACGCAGTATGCGCGACCGGTGATGGTGCCGCGACAGGACCCTCGTCCTGCATGTTACGCCCCGTACATACTGCAACAACGCGCACCACCACACTGTCATCTCCGCGATGCCAATATCACTCGCACGCCCGGGCCCAAAGTCCTGCCTCTGCCTGCCAGGCTCCTGACCACGGGCCCGCGCACGCATGGACTTGACTCGAATATAACACCCGAGACGAAGCCATTGGCGTTCCCTACAGTGGTGTACTCACCCGCAAGCCACCGTCGCGGCTCGCCGTCTCTGTTTTGGACTTGGGATGACGAGTCGATGCGGTGCTAATGCTAATGCTCGTGCTCGTGCTCGTGCTGATGATAGTGCTGGTGCTAGCGCCACTACTAGTACTCGCGCTCGAGCTGACGCCGCTTCATACCCACATGTCGGGTTGGCGTGGCGTGATTGCCGTGCCTGTGCCTGTGCCTGTGCCTGTGCCTCGCGCGCGCCGTCTTCACGGCATAGTACGTGCTCACGAAGACGTAGATTCCCGTGCCGATCAAAAGCACCAAGCCCATGATGGAGGACCGGGCAACGAGAAGCCTTGTGCCTGTGCCTTTCCGCCTGCTATCTTCTGCCCTCTTCCGTCCCTTCACTGTGCGTGTAGGAGTTCGGGGCAGGGAGACAAACTTGATAAATCCCACGGTCTTGTGGCGAAGGTCGAAAGCGGGAAGCGTCAGGACTGAAATGGACTTCCTTGGGCCACAGGACGATTGCTGGGCTAATTAGATGTCGGGAAGAAGTGCTGGTATTGAGACGCGATGTTCTGATGAGAGGGGCACTTGTTGTCGAGCCCCGGGTCTGAGAGTAGCGACGCCAAATCCTCTGCTGGGCAATGAATCTGTGCACGCGTGTTGTATGTGGCGGCCGCGAAATAGATGTATCAACGCAGCAATCCTGTTGGATCGATGGTATGGTCAAATCGCTTTGGGCGCCGTGACTTGAGTTGATCGCTGTTCGTGTTGTAGATGTGTGAAGAGAGCGCGATTCCGCATCCGAGTCCGAGTCCTAAGGTGAGAAAGGCATGTAACAGCCCGTATTTGAGCGGCTCAGGAAGTTTTCGAACGCTTTATATACTCTGGAGAGGGGAGTGTGAGCAATAATTAGGTCCTCATTTCCAAACCTTGATTTGATTATGGCGGCGACGGTGCGCGGACCAGAGAGCGGTAGAACCAGTCAACGCAATCACAGACAAGGATGCTATGAGTGGCTTCCAATTGATATGTTGTGATTGCGAAAGAGCGTCATGATACGCTCGGCTCCTGAATCCTCAAAGGCTTTCAGCCCTGCCTTCGTCGATCCCAGCGGCTTTCATGTTCGAAAAGACGAGTACTCAAAAGAGACGTAGGAACCCGCGGGGACGACACGAACCCCACACGCTCAAAGGTAAGAATCCGGAGCTGGAAAGATATGTCGACGCGTGGGGGAGTTCTCTTGCTGTAGAAGCGAAGCGAAGTATTGGAGAGGTAAGTTGCTGGCTCGACGCCGTCCTTATATGTGCCGTGATGGTTATGGCGCGGCATAACGACTATCACAGAGCCATAGGGGGAAGTCCATCAAGTCAGAAGACTTAAAACAGGAAGTCTCGGACAAGAATATACTACCTCGCTTCGCAGTTGTATGTAGAGACTGGGATAAGTGAGAGTCATACAGGGCAAGCCGAACCTCAGCAGCACCTCGTTTTTTGATGGCGTACGGAGTAACGACGGCGCTTTTGCGACTTGAGAGGCAGGCACTGAGGCAGTCCTTTTGGTGTTTCAGGGAGCCTGGTATGAGGGATATCCGCGTGCTCACCGGTATGATGAAGCAAGTCTTGGCGATGGTGGCGGACGAGTCGGCGCGCGTACTGACGACACAAACTTCGTGCTCTTAAGAGAGATCCGCTTGAAAAGGCACAGGACACGAGGTATTCGTGATGGGGTGAACATCATCGGCAACCCCTCCGCTCGTCTCGGAATCCCCGATTCCCTTCTTCCCTGGCGACAGAGTCCATCAGGTCCGACAGGTACATAGCAAGCAAGCTGAACAAGTTAGTACGCACTAAGTTCACCGCCGAAGAACGGGATGCTGTGGCGACTTGACCTCGAGATTCTCAACGCCGAGGAGCAATGATTTCTATATGCGGGAGGGATCGCTCGTCGTGAGGGGCGCATCCCATGCTTCTGAGAGACCAGCATTCACCCGGAGAGAGGACATGTAAGGTCTCTAACGAGGACTAGCTCGGCGGAACCGGTTCCAGGAAACTTGGCCAAGTCTTGTTGTACTACATGCAAATAGATCGTCGCGTACGACAGGTGTGGGATTGATTCGACGTGGGTGAAATGCACGTAGGCGCTCTTGTTCTTGCATTATCGCACTTCGGCGTTGCAGTATGGTAGATAATCTGAAAGTTTGGATGGCAGCACGAGAGACGGAACTGAGTCCGGCTCCTCCGTGCTCAAGCGGTCGCGGAAATCTCGAACCTCTTCCCAGATTTCTTGTACTGCAGACTCGTCACAGAGAGCGTGGAGTGGCGGGTCTTCTAGACGGTGAGACAGATTGGAGACCTGTAAACCTTCAACATCCGGTTGAGGATGAGATCGAAAGGAATTCTGGGTGTTGGGGGTGGCCTGATGGCTTTCTATCCGAGATGAAGTCAATGTTGTTTTGTTGGAGCAAGCAAATGCTAGACCCACGTGAATCAGTGTGCATGGTGTGATTTCATACAGCCCTACCGCGGGACCGGCGGGACAATGACCACGGTGTAAGTCTCAGGTTTCGTGATCCCTGCAAACTGGGGCATGCAGTGTTGAAAAAGTCGTTGTTTACAGAAATTGCGTGGCCAGGTGGTTAGGAAGTTCTTCTCACAATCGTTATCGATAAGATCGTTTTGTAACCGCGCCATGACGTCATACTGCGGTGACCGCCGCTTTGAGAGCGCGTCCTGCGACTGCTCGGTGAAGTAAAACGGTACATTCTCGCGACGCATCTGCTTGCCGGCGACGCAGCTGGGAGCAGGATAGGCATGCTGTGTGAAGAGATCGAGCTGCGGAGAGCAAGGAAATCATGAGAGTCGCCGATATCTGTGTCGCTGGGAGGGGCGTTTATCCATGGCTGATAAGAATGCAGCCTTGTCGTGTGAAAAGGATCGCAGACTCGTGGACGACGAGATCCGTGTAAAGGGTATGGTACTTGTAGGACTCGACCTCAACGGAACAGCTGTATGGTGCAAAATGCTGCTATTGTAGTCGCGACACGGTTTATCCCATCTGCTTGCGATGCCAGGATGAAGCGAGGAGCACGCACACCACTGATCGGTATCAGACGAGTATTTTCTCAGGCCGAGTCTCTGTTGAAGGTGAGAATATGGGCTACGCATATGATGGCCAAGGGCCCTGCTGAGCTGCTGCGATTTGATCCGTGGGAGAACGGAGGAAGCTTGACACGAGCAGCACGAGCAGCATACCGACACAGTAGCCACCTTCGCAAGAAAGTCGGCCGGCTTGCTAACAAATCCCCCTTCCGCGCATAGAAATTGTTGCTCCTCGGCGTGTCTTGTTGGTATTTTCGGCTAGCGGACTTGCCGGAGCCTGGGCTATTGATATATCTTAGACTTCAAATACTATAGTTTCAATGTATATAGTGGATCAGACGAAAGACCTCAACACACCTAAAATCGGGTTGTGCGGCCACAGAATTCTGTCCCTGGCCCGGTGCTGTTGACACTTCAGAGAAAGAATTTCCGTAATTCTACAGAGTACCAGGTACTCGGTGACCCGGTGCAAAGATACTCGTCTCACCTCGTACCAGAGACGATAATTTTACTCGCACGAGCGTTGCGCGAAACTGCTCACGTGTTGCTTGTACCGTCAGGCCCATCTCCACCACATCGTGCAGTCTTCGAGTTCGGTGTCGCGGTCATTCGCTAGCGGAGACCATCCAATCAGAGACTGACGCCCGAATCCCAGACAGCTTACAGGAACTACCTCGTACCGGCGCCATGGTTTCGGTTAGGGACGAGACTTGTGGTGATTGCGGGACCTTTCCACCTCGCCTCGAAGACCCCGGAGGTGACGAGTGCAACCGTGCAGCAGCCGTTCTGCTGTGTGCTGACAGGCCGTTCGCCGCACGCTCCACGGGAGAAACCGAGTACCCAGTACTCCGTACGCAAGATTTGACCACCCCAGAAGACTGGCTCGTGAGACTTCCTACTATGGTTGGGTTGGCGTCCCAGGGAGTCCTTTTGTCTTCGGCAACAACGTGTCTCTTACCCGCCCCCAGGGGTTGCGTCAGGCCCCGGAGAGACATGTTACAATCCACAAGGCTCGAGTCAACCACATTGGGAGGTAGTGTCGGGGTTATATCTCCATTCGACAGTCCACCACTCCTTTGAGGGATGGCATTGGATCATGGAGCTTCACTTGGTCGACGCGAAGTGACGATGGCAGCGTTATCGACCGCCCAGCGCCTGTTCAGGGCAAGCCTTGATTCTGACTGGCCGCTTGCTGTCATACATAGCGCCCGGTGATGCGCGCAGACGGCCCAAGCGGTTTCTTGAATTTAGGGATTATTCCTTCGGCTCACTGATGAGGAGAAGAACGGTTGTGTTCACGGTGAAAGGATGAGCTTGGCAGGTAAGTCAAAATGTCTGGTAACTTCAGAGTCCGCTCCGGAGCCTTTGCGTTGTCCTGCAGGACACGGTGGGATGGCTCGTCGTCGAAGGACGGGTTACATACACCGTCGAAAGTGTGACTCTTGTCGATCTCATGGTTGACTTGAAACGCTTCAAACTTTGTGCTGTTCGTTGCGTCGGAGCGAGGATCACTTCCGGTTCAAGCCGGTGCGCCGCTGGCACGGCGCGCTTACCACCGTGCTCACTACATTAGAGGGAGCCGTTCGCATAAGCCAGGATCAATAGACTCTGTTCGACAGATGATCCCGTCTCCCGCGCTGACGGTGATCTCAGGGTTCGAGGAACAATTTGCACGCATCGACTATGCGTGGGTAAGCCCTGGAAAAAGCAAAACCACGTTCTGTACAGTGCCGACAGGGCAGTAACTTTTCATTCCAGGCTGACATCGATCTCATGGTCTTGCCATGTCTGTCCGATGTCGAGCTGCCCGAGTGCTTGAAGCCCATCGTACCTGGACTAATCCGGTTGCAACCTCAAGACTTGTACATCTGAGGGGAGTCCGCAGAGACCAAATTCGGAGTTTCATGGAATCGATTAATCGACACGTGAGAAAGGCAGATTGGACCATAGAGTAGAGGCTGTTGTTGTTCATCATTGGGATCTTAGTCCTCAGCTTTGGCATGGAGAGTACCCCAGGCTGCATATCGCCAGCAACATGTATGATGATGCGGTCTTTCTACACAGTCGTCAGCACTGGGCCCTCTGCTTCCTCTGTACAACCCCGGTGACTTGACGACGGGAATCCTTATCCCTCTCCCTTTTTCGTTCTCATCTAAGCCCCAGTATCCTATCCCTTTTCTCCGAGCCGGTACTGGTGTCCCTTGCCGCTGGCAGGGTCACGACACCCAAACAAGCTTCAATTCCAAGCAAGCATTTCCGCTTTTTGCGCTCAAAGAAATCCAGTCTCCAAAGGGGGAATATTGTGAATCAAACACCGTCAAACACCAATCTGTAAAGTTTTCAAACTGGAACGCTCAGATCAGAAGACAGGTCGTAGAAAAGTCGTCATTGCATCGTGAGAATGCTCGGATAGTCGCAACGTTGTGCGAATAACTGGCAGGCACAAGCCAATGCTAGCTTACTGCTGTTGATTCGTCTTGAATGGGTGCCCTTTGTTCAGCGTCTCTGTCCGGTGTTGCTGCCGGTCTGGACTGGGAAGGTCGAGCCTGGCTCTGTTCCACAGTGATTGATGCTTGGTGGATGCATCTATCGCAGATCTTGTGGTGACAGTTGGGGCACTCTTCGACATAGATCTCGAAGCCAGTCTGACATTCGTGACACGTCCCACTGTCGGCGTTTGTGAGGGATGCGTTATTTGGAGGTTGAGGCAAACCATCGTCCGCCGTGTCTTGTAGGACTTTCGGTTTGTCCTTCCTGGGCGGATACCGGGAACATCGGCTACAACGACGGTGCTGACATCCAACGCAGACTCTGTCTCGGCCGAAGGTGGTTGAACAGTTGTGACAGGTGTATCTGACCCTCATTCGAATGCTCTTGTGGACTCTCTCATGAGGGACTTTAGGCCGTCTGTCCCATTCGGTTTCGTCTAGTTCCAGGTGATACCGGGCGAAGACCGCCTCGACCCTGCTGAGCGGCATCTGGCTCTCTTGTTGTAGATCGTCGCGGATGGTATGCGACGGTGGTCCTGGAGGCGGACCAACTCGCTCGATCGAGGTTGGAATCTCGTCGTCCACTTCAAGAACAGGTATAAATTCGAAATGGTTTTCCCTAGGAAGAAAAATTAGCAATGGCTACGAAGCAGGCGACACAACTGACTCCTTCGGCGTATGCGCAGCTTGGTCTTTCTCCGGAGGAACAGAAATAGGCGCAGTAGGTGCAGTCGTCGTGGCAGCACTGGCAGGTTGTGTGTCGGCCAGTCTGGGTCTGAAGGGTCCCCTCAACTTATCCCAGGCCGATTTCAATGCACTATATCCCTTCCTGAATGGTGTGTCTCTGTTTCCCATTGGATAAAGCAGAGTGAGTGGTCTGACAGAAGAGGAACCATAGCAGGGAGAGGGTGATTAGTGGTAAGGCGATGGGTTGAACGAGGGAGCAGCAGCAGGTGGCGTCGTGGTACGCTTATTGGGTGTTGGAGGTACCGGGGGATTGGTAAGATGGTCAAGAACCAACGTCAGGTGTCAGACTTATTGGTGGTAGAATTCCGAGCGTGTGGATTGGAATGTGACTTGTCGGGGAGCAGGATCCTGGGCGCCTCCAAACTGCGACCCATTGACTCGCACAGACGCCTCGCAAAAGCGTGCTTCCGGGAACAAGGACGGTTTCGCACAACGGGATCAGTGTGATGTTGGGAATACGGGGAGCGCAGGAGTCGACACAAAGCTCAAGATAGGTAGGTGCAATGTCCGAAATCGTTATAATCCAGCGAGTGGTGCTTCGAATCTGAGGGATCGTCACTCTGTACAAGCTAGTGCCGGCAAACCTCCAGTTACGTATGTAAATTCGAGGGACGGCATTCAGCGACAAGAACGAATCGACAAGTGTTGTCAAAACTGTGGACAGCCGATGGTGTCGAGTCGAGACAATATGAGAGAAGGGCGTTTTGAAGCGCTGAAGAGACAGAAGGAGTGGGAAGACAGGAAGATGTGAGCAGTGCTGAAGGTGTGGAGATAAGAGGAAGAAAGGCAGAGGAGAACCAACGGGGCGTGGATTGTGGCCCGTGGAGTTGACCTTGGAGCGTCCGGCGATGATGCTGGAGGACGCATCAAGCGCACCCGAGAACTGAAAACACAGACAAGTCTGGGGCCCGGCATGCTCTAGGCTGCCAGCTACCAGTGTCTAGGCTCGCGGAGCAACTGCCCCAACCAACAAACGGAGGAGCTACTTAAGAAGCTGACTCCATGGCTAACAATCATGTGGAAACGGAGGAGCACGCTCAACGCTAAAGAGTCATGGCCGCGAGCATAGCCTGGACGGCATGATTCAGGACCAGGAACCAAGATAAGGGATAGGCGGATCATGGTCAAACACCGTCAGGCGAGTGGTCGGGGCGAAGTCGCACTGCCGGTGAGTTCTTTGCATGAAGATTTCGATTAGAGCGGTACCATTCGACCACCACGTCGGGACGCCCGCAGCGCCGTTATCTGCACTGTCGACCATGAAAAGACGACCCCGACAGCCCAACTGAGAAGCTGCAGGAAAGCTGCTTCAAGTTAGGCCTGAGAGCCCGTGCGTAGGTTTCAGCTAGGGCCCAATTAAAGAGCTCGCTAAGGACGCCTGAGAACCGGTGCTGTGGCCTCGGGACAATCCAGCTCCTCGGGTACAATGCATGTGTCAACCCCGGCAGCCGACAGTGCTGATGCTGGGTATAAAGAGTGCGAGTGGAATGATGTTGATGTTTGTAACTTGTGAACCGGCAGGTTATCTATCTAGATGCTGCAGGATCCGGGAGATCCTGTCTTTTGGGGATGCAACAACCGCTGAGCTGCCGATGATCGGCGCTTTTGAGATGCTGGGAGAGCCCTTTCGCGACAGCGCCAAGTGTCACTTTGGGTACCGTTATTAGTCGAACTCTGCTGCCCATGTTCGCACAGAATCGTGCTTGCCTTTCAACAGACAGGAGTCGAATGGGTGCCACTCGTCAGAGAAGGGCGTTTGTATGATGGGCTTAAGCACTGCTTCCATTCTGGCTCGGCCTTTCTGTCCTTGTCTGCGCTTTTCCTCTGCTGACTTGCCCGTGGCTGTTACTTCTTCGGGCGCAAATTGCGCCGGTAGCTTCTGTCATAGGCGAGCTTGAGCCACGCGAGCTGCAGTCGCCCACTATTTACGTACGAGTTACGAGTACCATGCACGCAGGCTACCAAGCCTTTCCCCTGTGCTGGGGAGAGTGGGGAGCTTTGGCACCATTTTGAAGTTTCATTCCACCTGGAGCTTTTGCAACTTCGCTTGACGAATCCCTCGGCGCCTCGCAAAATCCGGTGACAGAGCTGAACAGAGAATCTGAAGCGGCTCTATTGCACGAAGAAGTCATAACATGCCTGTTAGTTTTCATCCAGGCACCAATTGGCAAACGAGCGACGGCTTTTGACACGCTGAAGCGAGAGGAAGATAGCCAGGAGGTGATTTCCTCTCAAAACGGTGGTGAAAGGGGAATTCGTCCACAACTTACCGTAGCGGGATACCATCCCTTCCACAAAGATGCCACTACAAAAACAGTACTCCGTACATAAACGCGGTCTTATTCGATTGTTGCGAGACCATTCATGACGAGAACGAGGCCGATGGGTTCTTACTTGGGGCAATGAAGTTGTTTCCTGACCCAGAACACAGACGTAAACGGCGACATTGTTGATGTCGTTGCTGTTCGCCAGACGTTCAAGGGCCTGGGAAAACGTCTCGAACACAGGCAAGCTCGTCTAGCTAGACACCATCGACTCGTGGCAATCCTGTGCACTCCCACGCTGCGTCGCTTGGCTGCCACATTCTGCTTGGTTCCGTTTTGCACCAAGGCTCGAAATCCTGGCACACCAACCTCAACAAAGTCGAAGCCTCAACAGGGGCGCTTTTCGCGTACTGTACCCGCCGCACGGACACTCAAGGAAAAATTGCTATTGTGGTCTCTTTCAACCCACGTGCATTGAATTAAAACAGCGATGGCTCCGTATGTGCAATTCTTGTCCCGGAACACGCGGTACATGGTTATACTTTCTGAATTACATGAGAACTATCAAAACCTTGAGCTTATTCCTTGTTTGACCCCAAACTCTAAGATCCGACAACGGGAATTCAAGGTGCACAGGCCCCTTACCCCGGATCAGCAGGGACAGCCAGAGCAGCTTAAGCGGCCTCCCACCACCGGGGAGTGGCCGGCTCTAAATGAGTCTCGGGCGCCTTGGCCGGTTGCATGGTGCTGTCTCAAGCAGCACTCGCGCACAGTAATGCATTCCATTTGGCCAATAATCTGTCTTCTCTCGAGGCCGTCCCGAGGCGATCTTATTAGCGAGCCCGAATACGAGGTACGATGCATACTTCCCCCATAATGATGCGTGCAGCGTTGTCGAAGGTTTGGAACAGGTGAACAAAGTATTAAGCATTGGTGACGCTTTCAACAATCTCTTGCCGATCTCCATGGTGCAAGCTCGATTCATCTCGAGACTAGTACGGGTTCCGTGGTACGGCTTCAAGTACGGAGTACTGACAGTCAGCCAGTGCAGCTTCGACATCCTTGCGGCCAAGCATGGATCTTCTGCCTCTACTTGCCCCACGAACCCAGTGGTTCTACGTGTAGAGCGACGAAACTTTGTTGCTGGTAAATAATCCGCGAAATACTCAAATTAATAATGGCACGGCAATAGACAGAATGGAAGAGCCAACACGCCAAATAATCCATTCATCCGACAAAAACTCGTCGCTGGAAGATCAAGAGAGTAGGCCGGCCTATGGCCCGTGTTTCTGTTGCTTCTTGCTTCGGCAAGCAAACAAATTCTTCCTGAACATTGCCTCGAGCTTGCCTTGCCAAGCAGCACCGCTGCAGATCGCTACAGCTGCATAAGCATCCTTGAATGGCTTCTTCGCGTATGACAAATACCTGGGCTTCAATGGCCCAGCAGAAGCAAACGACAATTCATTATGCGGTCAGTTGGGCAGCACAAGGGCGAACAGCGACACATTCAAGAAAGGATCAGTATGACAGACCGTTTCAGCTTCATATTGTGTCAAGGCATCCATGTTCAGTTTCCTCACCCTGAAGCTCCGAGTTTATCCCTCTGTATCATGCTTGTTGCTGTTTCGAGCAGAGGGCAGACGCTACCTAGGCCGTCCCTCGCAGGTTTGGCGACAGCGTATACATTCGAGTGGTTGTTTGGCCACTAGAGGGGTCGCATATGGCGAGGACCCGGCAGACAGTTCTTGTGAGGGCTCTGTCCTCACATTCCGATCCAAAAATCCCACCATTTCTGAGCACAGGTCAAACAGTTGGCTAGTTTCCTCAACCACATCTTGTCTCTCATCATCTGTCAGATCCGAGGCTGCTGCTGAGAAGCCGATCTTGAACTGTTCTTTGAGTTGTTCTCCCTCCACATTGGCATGAACGTGGTCCGGAAACTCCCAGAACGACAACGGTAACGCTTCACCCAGCCAGAATTCCACGCCGGCTGAGACAAGCCGGCTCCTGATCCATCGACCACCATTGAACAGAGCGAGGTACATTGTCCAAGCATAAGCGAGCAGGACGTGCGGTCTTCTCAGTAACGAGCTCTTGACCCTCCGATAGAAGACTTCCGCCTCTTGAGCCAGAGACTCAAGGTCCTCAGCTTCGCTGCGCCCCAGCCGGGATTTTAACACTTCGATATCACTTTGCAATCGACTCTTCCTTAAGAGCTGAGGCAAATACATGCTCTGGTACATCCAAGCCAGCCGTTGGTTTGCACGGCTGCAAGCAAGTTGTACTGTCATGAAGTCTTCAAACGCAGAGTATATTTGCCCGTAGAGTATCATGCCTTTGGCGTAGTGGAGTGGTCTGTCGGCATGCGGTGGTAGACATAGCGGCAAATGTGCCATCACCAGCGTGTTTAGGACATGATGCTTCTGGCGCGTTCCGGTGCGAAGTTGTTCTGGCAACGAAAGTTGTGTGCTGTCACCTTGACACGCTTGAGAGGTCATGTTCCAATATCCTGGAATCAATCACTTTTGCTTGTCATCGACCTCGCCCAAAAGAAAGGTCTAATCAAGCGAGCAATTGTGTCCTGAGGTGCAGCTGGGTGGGCAGCAGATTAATGAGAAATCACCGGATCCAGCGGTGACAACGGACGTAGCACGCTTCGCCGCCAGTGAATGCAGGAAAGTAGAAGGGAAGAACAACAGCGCACAGCAGCGTCGAACCGAGCCCATAGCCTGACGTGCCTGACCTAGGCTACGGCTGGGTTTTCCCTATCGCCATGCTGCTCGCCACCTGTTTCAGATCGTGAAATTCAAGAAACTCAAAACGGTGATGATTGTAAGTCGTGATTTGGAGTTCGCGTCGGCGTAATGACGACATTACAGCAGCACGGAATTCGTGGTGGGGGCAGCCGACACGTGACGCGGCGGGTCCTGGTTGAATCTCGGCTACGGAGCGATTCCCGTAGATGTGCCGGCATGAAGTAGGCTAAATTACTTCAAAGGCGCTGGAATGACAGAGTAATTCAACACTGACGCTCACTGTCATCTAATTTGGTTGATAATTGAAGGTCATCAAAGGTCGCAATTCCACATTCCACCGCCATCATGACGATTGGAGTAGCTATCCTGGGAGGAGGCATCTTCGCTCGCGAAGAACACAAAGTGAGTAACAAGCAAGGCTTTTACGATCAGTCTACTGATAATATGCAAATCAGCCGGCTGTGGAGGCGTCAAAGCACTTGACCCTGAAGGCGGTTTACTCCCGCTCTCTGAAATCTGCGAAAACCTTGGAAGTCGACGAGTCACAGGTTGATCTCTATTCTGACGACTCCGGTGCTGGAAAGTCACTGGACGACCTCCTGGCTCGAACGGACATTCAGGCGGTCATAATCGCCTTGCCCATCAAGAACCAGCCAGAGTACATTTGCAAAGTGCTCTCGGTGGGAAAGCATGTTCTCTCGGAGAAACCGGTTGCCGAGAACGTCAAGCAAGCCGCTGAGTTGATCAAGTGGTATCACTCGGAAATCAAGCCGAAGGGGGTGACGTGGGGTGTCGCTGAGAATTTCAGATACACCAATTCGTTTGTCCACGCGGCCGAGGCTGTGAAGGGCAAAGGGAGGCAGTTGACCTTCCGGTTGCGAATGCAAACGCTGGTTGACGGGGGCAAATATTTTGAGACCGAGTAAGTCAATCTCTGCATCGAGGTCGAATGGAAGTTGATCACTGTACAGCTGGCGGAAAGTTCCTACTCACCAGGGCGGATTTCTCCTGGACGGAGGCGTACATTTCACCGCAGGCATCAGAATGATGTTGGGCAAGGATAACCCGCTCGTATCATTGTCGGCGCATTCCGCCCAGCTCCAGAAGCACCTGCCTCCGGTCGACACTGTGGAAGGGACGGCAAAGAGCAAGCAAGGCACAGTCGGCACCATTTCAATATCATTCGGCACGACTCACAAGGGAAGCGAATGGGCTGTTGGCTGTGAGGATGGATTCGTCAGCATCTCGGGCAACAAGGTCACGATTGACGATAAGACCGAAGAAATCCAAGACGAGAGATCGGGGGTCCCACCTGAGGTGAGGGCGTGGGGAGAAGCGCTGGCTGCTGGAAAAGTCAATGAGCAACAGTCTCCGGAGGAGGCGCTGGCGGATTTGGAGCTCATCGAGGCTATGCTTAGAAGTGGTGAGCAGGGAGGTGTTGCGATCAAGCTGGAGCACCAGGAATGGTAGATCCAACGAAGAGAGCGTCAGCTACGATCGAGCAGGAGATAAGCGGCAGTGCGAGCCTACTTGTGCAGAAAATGCGTGCAAGAGCATTTGAGCTCAGTGTAAACAAACGTGACAAGGCTCAAGTGAGACGCTAAACCAGATTCGGTTGGGAGCGTTCTCGCCCACAGAAATCTGGCTTGGCGTTGCGAAATCCAGTTCGAACTTTTGAGAGTCCCGTGTCCGACACACTACGACCATTGAATCGCCCATTTCAACCCCAGACGATCAGGCAAGATGGTTTCCTCAGCTAAGCACGTCCCGATCGTCAAAAAGCACAAGAAAGTCTGTATTATCTGGACACGAATCGTACGCAAACACTGACGAACATGTGCAGTCATGGTTCCGCCATCAATCCGACCGGTTCAAGTGCGTTCCCTCAGCATGGAGAAAGCCAAAGGGTATCGACAACCGAGTGCGAAGACGGTTTAAGGGTCAAATGGTTATGCCATCGGTAGGTTGCAAACACAAAGCCAATTTCGAGTGGGAAGGATGAGCGCCTTTCGAGCACGCGCACGCACACACACATACGGGCATAGGCAGCAAGGACAAAATTGCAGAGGCTGATTTTTGAATCCACAGATTGGGTTCGGCTCCAACAAGAAGACCAGACACATGATGCCCTCCGGTCACAAGGCTTTCCTCGTGCACAACACCCGCGATGTCGAACTCCTCCTGATGCACAACCGAACCTACGCCGCCGAAATCGCATCTGCTGTTTCATCACGGAAAAGAATTGAAATTGTCGCCAAGGCGAAGGCGCTGGGTGTCAAGGTTACCAACCCTAAGGCGAAGATCACCACCGAGTCGTGAGCGGGTCGGGAATGGAGGCTGTGATATTGCGACTGTGATGGAGATGGTTTGCATGAGAGATTCTCATAAGCATCTTAAGCGAGAAAGGTCTACGACAGATGACAGGGACTGGTTTCATTGCGATGGCCTGGGAGCATGGAAAATAACAGGCGCGGAGCAACAACCAACATGAGACAAAAAAGAATCGATACAAGTTTGAAGATACCGTCAACCCTCATGCTGCAGTTTGGTCGTTGGACCCATCACGCCGGTAAATGCACAGGCAGATCCTCTATTTCAACCTCATGGGCGTCAGCGTCCCAGGGCTCCTTCAGATTACTAACTTGGTTGGAGCTTGTTGTATAATGACCTCCTCGCTGCTCTTGTCTCTCAACATGTGACGTCGTCAGAAATATTTTCATCTTCTCGTACAAAATGTGCATTCCAAGAGTACACGGTAGACGTAGAGCTTCCCACAACCCATATCCCGAGAAGAAGTGGCCTTGTAGGCGAACGATCGAAAAGTGGCACAAGGCTGCGGCAATTACGGCGCGGCTTAAGCACGATCCACCAGACAGTTTCCTGCCCTGACTCCTCTTTTTCATATTACGAGTACAATCCTGCCATAGTCCCGTCGAGGCCACGGTAGCAGGACTTCCTCTGCTCCTCCACCCACCGCTGGCTCCCTCACCACGAGTTCTTGCCTACTTGGCAAAGCGCGGGCGATATCCAAGCCCTAGCATGGCCCTGACCACGACCGAGATCAAACCCTCTCCATTCTACGATGATAGGAAACCGCTCATAGATCCACCGGCGGTTGCGGTGACGCCCTGCGACCCATGGCCTCGGCCATACTACCTCGAAAATGGCCTGCGGCGGGTCGCTCCATACCACTACACATACAACACATTTTGCAAACAACGATGGCGTGGGCGTGAAATCCTCGACATATTCGCGGCCGAGTTTCGCGACCGCACCCGCGAATATTACAAGCAAGCGATAGAGTCTGGCCGGATTTCAATCAATGGCAAGCCTTGTAATGATGTCCACACCATTGTTCAAAATGGCGATGTCATCTCACATACCCTGCACAGGCATGAGCCCCCGGTGACCGCGCAGCCCATACGAGTCATCCATGAGACGGACGAAATGATTGTCATAGATAAGCCTGCCGGTGTACCTGTTCATCCGGCTGGGCGGTACAACTACAACTCCGTGGTTGAGATCATGAAGGCCGAGCGGCATTTCTCCTTCAAGCCTCTCCCCTGCAACAGATTGGATCGACTCACCAGCGGTGTCATGTTCATCGGGAAGACAAGCAAGGAGGCAGAGATGATAAGTGAGAAATTACGAGGTCGGACCATGCGAAAGGAGTATGTTGCCAGAGTCAAAGGACGGTTCCCGGACGGAGAAGATTGGGATGGTGACTCTATGCGTGGTGGTATTGTGAAGTGCGAGGAGGCCATTCTACAGATCAGTCCGATCGTCGGTCTCAACCGTGCGCGAGCAAGCGGGAAGTCGGCGAAGACGTTGTTCAGACGGCTGGCATATTATCCCACGAAACCGAAACAACCAACGATGTCAAATTTGAATATTGCACAGTCAAACGGACACGAAGCAGCACAGCCTGCAGCGGCAGTACCTGGAACGGAAACGGAGGGATACAGCATCGTTCACTGCCTTCCTTTGACCGGGCGAACGCATCAAATCCGAGTACATCTGCAATTCCTGGGGCACCCGATCACAAACGATCCGATCTACAGCAACAGGGCTGTCTTTGGTCCCAACCTTGCAAAGAACGAGTCGACAGGCGAGAACGATGAGGAGATTGTAGCAAAGTTGAAGCTCATAGGCAAGACCGAGGTTGCCAGCTCGCTATCTTACGAGCAAGAGCAACTAGCAAAACTAGTAGACCAGACGCAGCAGATGACTGTCTCGGCAGCTGTCAAGCTGAGCGAGGCGTCGCAGTCACCCCGTCCAACAGAGTCAGGTCCGTACTTCAAGCCACTGCCCACTGGTACCTTGCACGCGGGATCGCTCCCCACCACCAATGGCGGAGACCCCGATGCTGAGTATGGTGCATTTGTCAAGGCGCACGATGAAATGGTGGCCGACTATAACAAGCGCAAAGGGGAAAAAATGACGGGCGAAAAGTGTTCAATATGCGACACTCCTTTGTACTCGGACCCGGGACCACACGAGCTAGGAATCTATCTCCACGCACTGTCCTATGCAGACGTTGCTGAAGGAAGCTGGAGCTACCGGAGTCCTGTGCCGCTATGGGCGCTACCACCAGATGGTTGTGACGGACCCAGCGACATCGGAGCTTGGCAGTATCGAGGCGACGAGGTTCTCGATATCGGCGACGAGAGGGAAGACGCGAAGGTGAAGGACCGCATAGGGCTGATGAAGAATAAAGGCCAGATCGAGTGAGTCGCTGGTGGAACCGCAGTCTCAAGCTCGTGCGCAATACAATGCCGGGGAAGGGAAAGTACATAGTGTGATGGTACGTGCTGCCTGCGACCAGAGTGTGCTGAAGAGCTTTGCGCCGGAAAGACCTCAAGCGAGGACACGCGGCGAGGGACTACTGGCGCGATTCTCTGTGGACATTATGAGCTGTCTCCAGCCCGGACCATTCTTCCTCGCGTACTTGATTCAGCAGGCCCTCTACTGGTTGAAGCCAATATGTGGTATGGGTGCACCGGACCTCTTCAGGAAGTAAGGGTTCGGTGACAATTAGGAGACTGGGAAGTGATCCGTTACGAGTACGGAGTACTCCGTACAGTAGGCGAGGAAGGGGACCAGGCACTCCAGCTAGAGACGGCGATGCACACCGAGCCATCCGGAGCATTTGCACCCCTGAAAGGAAGGGTCAGGGTCAGGTCGTCATCACACCATGACAGCTAGAGATATTACGGAGTAGCATCGTACGAGGTCTGGGTGAGGTCCTCCGTACCAATTACTGGTGGTGGTGGTGGTGGGTGATGCTGTTGTGGGTTGCTTGCCCCGGGAGCCCAGCCCCCCTCAACCTTCAAGCTCCAAGTCAAGCCCGTCCGACTCCCAGTGCATCTCATCTCCCCGATCATTGCTATTCCCAATTGCGCTACTCGGTAGCCTCACTTTGTCTTTCCCCTTCTGTGTTGTCGCGTTCCTCTTGCTCCGAGTGAGAAGCGACAAGTCGTACTTCTTGCATTCCTTATCTGAATTTCGTACTCAACAATAATTACTCGACCTGACCCGGAAGCGCTGCCGGCTGTCGCGCCCTCCCGTGCTCTCGTCCGCACATCCATCTTGCCTGTTCTTTGCGGCGCGCTGGGTTTCCTTCCTTTCTTCTGAATCCAGCCCCGACAGACACCACACTCTTCAAAGGCCATGGCGCGATCGTTACCCGTCAAACGCAATCCTCTTGTTGCGCCCGGCTCAGCGCCAGCTCGTCAGTCATTCTGCGCGAGAGAAGTGATTCGAGACTGACATGTATCTGTAGATGAAGAGCTCCTCGCTCGCAGGCGTCTGGGCAAGACGAAGTTGTCTGTCAAACCTGGGCAGATCGGAACGTCGAATGCGACAAAGGCGGAGAATCTCGGCCACTTTGAATATGCGCATTTGCGAGCTCCTCTCCCAGAAGACCTGACGGGCTCCGAGATATTCGCGTCGCAGTCGAACCAAGCTCACCCAGAGACTTATTTCCTCATGGTACGGAACCAAACAGCGAACGCATCAACGGCACGTCTGACATGTTATCGCAGAGGAGAAGTAAAGATGGGTTCGTCAGCGCGACTGGCATGTTCAAGATCGCTTTCCCCTGGGCTACGCATGCAGAGGAGAAGGAAGAGCGCGACTATTTGAAAGGCCTTGACGCGACCAGCGAAGATGAGGTCGCTGGCAATGTCTGGATTTCGCCCGACTTTGGTATGGATGCGTCGCAGATATTTGGAGCCCCTCGAACTGACCTGGTCCTGCAGCGCTTGAACTCGCCGAGGAATACGGCTTGAGCGATTGGATTCGCGCGCTTCTTGATCCCACGGAAATCACTCAAACACCTTCAAGCACTAAGAAGCCAATTGCAGCACCTCCCAAATTCGATCTTCCCGATCTACCTCCCAGCAAGACCAAAGGCCCAGCATCTACCAAAGGCCCTCGATCAAGGAGAACGAGGTCAGTGTCGCCAAGCAAAGCAGGGACTCCAGCGAGAGCGAAGGCGTCCCCTAGGAAGAGACAGACGAAAGCGCAGAAGGAAGCCAATATTGCTCATGCCGAAGCGGCAAGCGCATCGCTGCAGTCGGCATTGGATGATGCCGCATCTGTTGCACAGTCGGTCCTTGATGACGCTGCCTCGGTGTCCGCGGAAGGGACCGACTCAAAACTAGCATCTCCCGAAACCACGGTCTTACCGTCCCCGCCGACGACAAGCGCCGAGTCGGAGACGGTCAAGGTTGAGGTGGATCAGACAGTCGAGTTGGAGGGCAACACCCAGATTACACACACGAATGTTACAGTGGAGATGCCAGCAGGATCACCAGAGCTGCCTCTACCTGAAGACACGGAGAAGATGCTCGAGACAGCCAGGAAGATGGTTGAGGAGGCCAAGACCCTGGAGAGTTCTCCCAAAGTTTCCAAGAAGCGCAAAGCAGCAGAAGCAGAGCCCAGCGACATCGACGCCGAACTTCCCGCGCAGCCGGCAAAGAAGGCAAGAGTGTTGGAAGAGAAGCTGAAGAGAGAGAAGGTGAGGACACGAGCGGTTCTCGGTGTTACGGCCACCTTGGCTATTGCGTATGTTCTCTCTGCTTGATATTCCCTCGGTCCCATGCTAACATGCCAAGTGCCGCGATACCTTATTTCTTCTAAAAGCTAATGCGAGGGCTGTTGCGTTGTTTTTCAAATTATTGTTTTGAGATACCAGTGGTTGGAATTTAGCAAGAGAAAGCTTCGTTATCGGGAGACTGAAGCAATTAAGGGGGAAGGGGCATGATCCAGTCACAACAGATGTATGAAGCCTCCAGGCCTCAACCGTCGAAAGGATCCTACCAGCCTCCGTTTCCTTGGATCGAGGATCCGACTCGAGTCATCATTCCTCTTTTTAAACCGGATTTAGATGAGCAAGAGGAGTCCACGTTCCGGCCTCGAAGTTTCGTACCAGCAGAGACCCGCCTAGCCCCAGAGCTGGGTTGTCAGAAAAGCTTCTGCATTGCCAATGGAAATCCAGTTCGCAATAAGCTTCATCGCATGGGAGAAATTCTCCGAACCGCGCATTCCAGAGAGTTGCTGCGGTCTTTTGCCCCAGGACGAAGTTCCATACATGGTCGCAAGTTGGATCTCGCATTGGAGTAGCGGTTCCCTGGAGTAGGCGATGCACTGGGACTCATGATGGACTGTCGAAGGAGGATATGGGTTCAAACTCGAGCGCCATCTGTCAGCGGGAGAGGAAACCCAGCACGTGGTCTGCCGGGCAATTCGCAGGCACGTGACTCAAACCCTGCGTTCCCTGTGTCTCCAACCACGTCACCGGCGCTGAAACACCGAGTGAGGCAGATCTCAAGTCTTGCGCAACGGCACCTGCTGTACTCTGTATTCAGGGCTCGGGTCATGAATACCCGAAGCCCATTATTTGGTTCGTGATATGCCCCCGTTGTTAGCTGCAGTTTCCTCCTGTGCGGATTGACTTCCGTATGTCGCTTCAGCTCCCGGACGCAGGCGCCAACAGAGCCAAGTCCCAGTCACGGCGATTGTTTGCCTGGCGGCGGCTATATTTACCACGTATATTCATAGTCCTGTCACCCAAATACCTAATGAGGCCACCTCGTCGTCCGGCCTGGTTGTCCTTCAGAATCTCTATCTTTACAGTCTAGCCATGTGCCATGGCGACATCGGTCCTCAGTAGCACAAGCATGGCCGCTCCCTTTGCAAAACCTACGAACACATACCAATCTCCCGCGGAGGCCTTGTGTCCGCAGTGCGGCTACCACCTCGCCGCCGCGTCTGATCATTCTAGGGAAGCGGTCGAAGCAACACGTCGGATTCGCGACCTCGAAGCCCAAGTGAGGCTCCTCAACTCCAAAGCCGCTGCGGCCGTGGACAAGCTTGCCGACTACGAGGATGAGATTAGGGTTCTAAGAGATGCGTATGGCCGGTCACAACAACAGCAAGGGCAAGCACAAGTACAAGCACAGGAGCAGGCTGCAGTGCTGAGCAGACCATCCCTCGAAGGTCCTGGCCCGGCCATAGCCCCCACAACGCCAGGGCCGAATCCGCCACAATCACAACAACAGCACCAGTCACGGCTCGCTAGCTTGAGCGCATTTCTGCCCGGCCGCAAGAGGGATGGCAGCAGTGCAGGCCAGCCGCCCTTGACGCCCGCAACAGACACATTCCCTCAGAACACCGCCGCATACAACTCCAGCACGCTCTCCCCTCCCAAGACGCCTTTCTTCAACATTGGCGGTGGATCGAACCACTCGGAGCCCACGCTGTCAGCTCCGGAAAGCACGGTAAATCTGGTATCTCTGCAGTCGTCCCTCGAACAAGAGCGCACCCTCCGGCTACGTGCTGAGTCGGACCTCTCACAGACGCAGACTGAACTGGAAGAACTTACAGCACAACTGTTCGGACAGGCGAATGAGATGGTCGCGAGCGAGAGGAAGGCGAGAGCCAAATTGGAAGAGAGGGTCAAAGTGCTAGAGCAGCGGGACGTGGAGAAGCGAAAGAGGCTGGACAAGCTGGAGAAGCAAATGCAGAGGATCGAGAGGGCCAGAGGCATGGTAGGGGATTGAAGTGAACACAAAATGGCCTCGAGAAGCGAAAGTGCCGCAACGAAGGCATCTTTGCCACGCATCACGGCACATCAAGGAGATCAGCCGTCATCCCTTCATCCGGCTGCCACACGGGACCTTAAGGCCTTTACGCTTATAGAGAACACCTATTCTGGGACGGGGCATTCACTTGACCGACGAGCCTCCCGAAAAGAGAGCCGAACAGATATACTGCCACCAAGCAGGCAGAAATCTTTGACACTCGTAACGGCAGATGCAGAAATCGAGGTTACAGATATCAGCAGGGCCTTCTGAACTGTCGCACCACTCGACAAAAATCGTACATCGGTTCTAGGCGAGACTGATGTAGGCGCCCTCAATGAAGGCAGCAATGGCCGGCCATCAAAGTGCTTGGCCACTGAATTCGCATATCTGAGCCGGGATTCCCACGCTTGAACGGTTGTGACTGAGGAGTCAGACAGGCAGGAGCGGAGGCAGACAGACAGGGCACATCTCTGGAGGTACATGGAGAAGCAACCCATCGGAGAAAGCCCATCATTATGCGGGATACCAGAATGAAACTCTCAGGCAGGAGACCGTGTCGGTGCTGATATGTGGTAAGCGGGTAGGTATTTAGGTAGGTAAGGAGGAAGGTAATACGGCAACGCCGGAGTGGCAATACCTAGCAGACGTACGAGCTGTGTGCCATGTCCATTGCATTTCGCTCCTAGCAGTCTAATCATGACGTTCATCCTTTTGCATATCTACTTTCTACGGACAAACCCTTCTTCCCGGCCGTTTACTCGCCTGTCCAGTCTGATCAGATCGCAGGCGCAAATACAAACCGTGTGTCCAAGGTGCCGACCAAGCTGAAAGTGTCGTGTCGGGTAGTATGCATCCTATATATATCGATCGTCCTACCGCTTCAATGATATACTATACGTCTACTCCTATTCGTGCTCATTCATTCATCCTCCCTCCAGTTTCCTGCTCCCGCTCCCTGCGTCTATGCATCATATATAAGTCTTCTACCGATTCAATGATTTACTATACGTCTACTCCTGTTCGTGCTCATTCATTCATTCATCCAGCTCCTCCTCCTCCTGCTCCCGCTCCGCAACCCAAGCGTCATACGTACCACGCGAGATCGACCCCGTCAGTCAGCTCAAACTTGGTGAAGCCATTCCCCATGAAGCGGAAGCGATTCCTCGAGCGATACCGCAGGTCGAAATCCTCGGGCCGGATCGTCTCGACCATTTCGCGGAAGAGCATGGCGCTGCCGGCGAACGTGGCCGTCACGCGCCCGTCGATGCGGTTGTTCTTGTACCATGATCGGCCTGCGAGAGGGGGAGAGAGAGTGTGTCAGAGATGTCGACGTCAGTAGGAAAGTGAAGAAGAGAAGAAGAACCAAAAGAACTCGAAATATACGACATATGAGACACAACTCACAATTCCCCGTCCAGGTCAGCGTCTTCATGACTTCATCGCCGTAGCGCACCAGCTCGTCGACGACGTCTTGCTTGGGGGCCACGGACGCGATGTCCTCCCTCGCCAGCTTTCGCAGCCACTGCACGATCCACTCGGCCGTCCAGTCGAGGCTGTAGATCAGCGAGCCGTGGCCGATGGTGGCGTTGGGGCCCATGAACATGAAGAAGTTGGGCATTTCGGGACAGGCGACGGACTGGGTAAAGATTAGCTTGGCTTTTGTTTATGCCGTGGCTCGCTCGTAGCATATCGCCGGTAGCATATCGCTCGTAGCATATCGCTCGTAGCATATCGCCCGTGACTCGTAGCTTGCATACAGAAGAACAGGTAGGTGGTACTCACCAGGTACGACTCTGGTTCATACCTCCACTTGTCGCGCAGATCGGTGCCGTTGCGGCCGACGATGGGGAACGGCGGCACATTCGACACGTCAAAGCCCGTGGCGCAGATGATGACGTCCAGCTCGTAGTACTGGCCGTCCATCGTGCGGATGCCACGTTCGTCGACGTAGTCGATGTGGCTCTGCGTGAGGGCGACGTTGTCCCGCGTAAAGGCCTCGAGGTAGCCGTTGCCGGGGGTCACGCGGCGACAGCCGACCTCGAAGTCCGGGATCAGCATGGCGCACAGGCGCGGGTCGTGGCCCAGCTTCTCGGCCATCTGGCGCGTGGCGAAGGCGCGGATCTCGGCCTGCTCGGGCGACGCCTTTTCGAAGATGCGGAACCCGCGGTTGACGTTGCCGACGATGCGCTTGCGGTACTCCTTGAGCGCGGCCGGGTCGCCGCGGAACCGCGCCTTGTCCTCGTCGCGGTACGCCGGGTTGGGGCTGGGGTCGTCGCTGCCCACCAGCTTGGCCGGCGTGTGTCGGCACACCACCCACGTCGGCGTGCGCTGGAAGCACGTCACCCTCGTGTTGGCGAGTCGTGCCATCTCCGGCAGGATCTGGATCGCGCTGCTGCCGTTGCCGATCAAGCCGATGCGTTTGTGCGAGTAGTCGAACGTGTGGTCCCACGCCGCGCTGTGCACTTTGTGGCCGCGGTACGTGTGCAGGCCGCGGATGTCGGGCCATCGCCAGTGGCTGAGGATGCCGCGCGCCGACACCAGCACGTCGGCCCATTCGACGCGGGTGTCAGTGGAAGTGTCAGTGCCTTCGCTTGAGTTGGCATCGGCGGCATCACCGTCGTTGTGTTGCTGCTGCCCCCGCCGCCGCACTTCTAGACGCCACTGCGCCCGCTCTTCGTCCCATTCCGCCCGCTCCACCGTCGTGTTGTACTGCACGTCGCGGTCGAGGTTCCACTCGCGCACCGTCCGCTGGAAGTACTCCCGGATTTCTGGACCGGTCGAGTAAAAGTGCGACCACTCGGGGTTGGGCGCGAACGGGAACACGTAGATGTGGCTGGGCACGTCGCACTGCACGCCCGGGTACGTGTTGGCCACCCACGTGCCGCCTGCGCACGGCTTGGCCTCGTAGATGGTGTGCTCGACCAGGCTCGCAAACTCCGGCCCGTACGTGTATTGCAGCTTGTGCGCGAAGATCATGCCGCTGTACCCGGCCCCGATGGTCACCACGCGCAGTTTCTTGCTGGGCGTGAACGCCGGCACGTTGTGCATGGGGATCGTGATGGACGGGTCGGCCTTGTTGTGTCCGTTGACAGACGCAGATACGGGCACGTCCATGGCCGGGCCGCCTGTTCCAATGTCGCCGATTGAGCCCATCGTGTTCGAGTAAAGTGTCTAAACGTCTGATGGTTGTCCGTAATGTTTGTCCATACACAAGTCATGTAATCTCAACAGCGGCTGGTCAATACGAAATGTCAAGAACCGAAAGTTACATCAAGACAAGCAAACATATATGCATATTTTAACATTCCAATGGGTGCCGTGTCATGTTATGTTATGGCGTCTTTACCGAATTGCCGGCCATATACACAATAGTCGTCGACGATCATGCTGATGTTGGAGAAAACTGCGGAGGCGTGCGGTCGAGTGCCGTGTTGTGATGCATTTGGAGAAAACGAGGAGGTTTGACCGGGGGTGACCGGGGTGAAAGGGGTGACCGGGGTGACCGGGGAAGATGGAGGCTTAAGTACTCCGTACGAGCCCGGCAGTGAGGTGGTCTCAGTCACGTGAAAAAGGAGACAGCGGTACATTGTCATGGACAGGTAAAGATGGAGACAAGTGAGGAGAATAGACGTATATCTGGCCGGTCCTGCTAGGGAGGTTGTCTCATGCAAGGATGTTGATATAACCTCGATATATATTACCAATAGTGTGTCGTTCATGTCGTTTCCCGCGGCATATATTGCTCTCCGATTCTAAAGGGATGGCAAAGGGGGTCGGTGACTCTAGTCTTTATAAATTCATCTCATCACTTTAACTGCCATTGATAGGCACAAAACGGCCACCTTCGTCGGTCACCTGCCATTTCACAGTCATATCCTGGGCAATCTTCTCGGCGTGTTTCGCGCTGTGCGCATCTCTCAGCCTATTTCTACCCTCCTTGGTCAAGGGGTGGTAGAAGTGTGCGAGGGCGTTGCTCTTCCACAACATTGTGGCACCTTGGCGTTTCGACTCGATCATCGTACAGACCAGCAGGAGGGCACTGAGGAGCAGGATCGCGGCAGGAAGCGCAATCCAGCCCCAACGGACATTCACGTGCGGCATATGCTGCGTGGTGATGCCGATTGTGTTGTGCCCCGGCCCGTACGAGTTGGTGCCTGCTCCGGGCGCCGTCCGAATGCGCTGCGTCATACTTGAAGTCAGCGAGGACATCATATCCTTCATGCCTGCTTCGTCCAGGTAGCGGACATAGGCGACAAAGTCATTGTCAACGCTGACTTGTCCGCGCATGGAGTCAATAAACCTTCCGCCCCAGAGCAGCTGGTTCGCATTTTGGTTGAACTGGAACCGGAGTGCTTGGATGGTGACGCTGTCGAGGAAGTAGATGTTGCTGTCGTTGACGTTGGAGTGGTTCGTCCATGACTGTGGCGGATGTATATACACGGGCATGGTGTAGCCTGCATCTCCCTCTGAGAAGACTTGGCGGTCCGTCTCGTTGATGAAGGTGTCGATGATCATCTCGGTGAAGTTCGACTTCTCCAGAGTGGCGTGGTACTTGATCACACAGGCATCAATGCCGCATTCGGTTGCATTGGCAGCGATGATTTTATCGTAGAACCTGTCTTGATCGTCGTAAACACTCTGCCACTCGGCGCGCATGACTGACAAGGTAGCCACGTTGGCGGTGAGTGGCTTGCCGAAATATGTCTTTTCAGAGGCTGGGCTATCGTCAATATCGACGAAGACGGGATCCACGTACCCCTGGGTCAGGTTGACGCCGGCGATGAACTGTCCTGATGGCATTGTGTAGTTGCAGTAAGGGATGGGATCGCCTACGACCAGTGGCTCGCCGTTCTCGTCAAAGGTGGTATAGTTGAACGTTCCGCACTGCTTGACAATCTGGTCGGTGGTGCTGTAACACCGAGAACAGAATCCCAGCGACGTGTAGTCCTCCATCCAGGTGCAATTGCCAGTGGAACAGCCTGGAGTGACTGGAAAGCTTTTGCCATCACCATACATGCCGGTGTAGATTGCGGCTACCATAGGCTGCTCGGCCAAGGGTGTACCAGAGATCCAGCCAGGACGGGAGGCAAAGTATTCGTTTGTCCGTGCGATCGTGGCCGGTCCAAGGTTGACGGGCCGCAGCGGGTAAGTGACGAGCTGCTGGAAGCCAAAGTCGAGTGCGAGAGAGCCCAAGATGATCACAGCCCCAAGACATGCCAGGCTACGGCCGCGGAAACTCCACAGCATGATCGCAGCTCCAAGCGGGCCACGTGCGGCGCTCTCGAAGACCTGAATGTCTGTGAGCCGATGGCCCGAGTTGAACCACATCCATTTCAACTCTCCCATTGCCGCTGCGACAGGGATGAGCACCGTCGACTTGACAGCAGTCGAAAAGATGGAGATGACGGAGTTGATTGTCACGGTGAACGGCTTCGTGTGTTTGGGTTTGATCGTCCAGTTGGGGACTTTCTGGCCGTTGGTGACGCGGAGGAGAATGATCAGGCCCAGCAGCGCAAGTGTGCTGACGACCAGGGCGAAGATCTCAAAGGCCCATAATCGTTCCATGAGCTGTTCCAATCTCGAGATTGCGCTGGGCGTCGTCGGGTCATCCCCGTGGCTGGAGCCGTCCCTTTCTTGATCGGACTCGGTGTGCTCGGTAATCTGTACGCCTGTCCTCTTCGACTCTCGCCGATACGCATCTTGTTCGCTCTTGATCATGTAATTGTCCATGATTGACGCAGTCTTCGGCACTGACAGGAACGTCGACGAAAGTGAGCCGGCGCCATGAGGGACGCCTCGGGGAAATTCATGCTCTTAAGAAAAGATGCAGACGCAGCTCCATCGCCATGGGTGGAGCTGGTCGAGCTCACTAGCTAGCAGTCTCGCTCTTGACATCTTGGCACCACGCGCTGCGCTGTCAAGCCTGTACCCTGTATGAGCGGGTGGAAGCTTAAAAGCCACGAGTCTTCATTAGCGACAACAATATCGGCCGCAATAGGAAAGGAATCTGCCATGTGGCTGGCTGAGGAAATAGACCTGAAAAAAGTTGCGAGCCGAAGTGGAGCGGATCGAAGCATCTGGCCATGCGTGTGGAGACGAGCTTCCAGTTTGGGCGGTTAGGGGTAGCGCCACGATTCCGACGTGATGATGTGATCGCGATAATGGCGCAGTGTCGAAAGAACGAGTTGAGTATTCTGAGAGCGGAGTGCTGTGTAGGAGCCTTTGAATGAAGCGTGGTTTTGTGAAACATGTGCTGCGTACTGGGGAAGCATCGAAATGAATAATGACCGATGGGATAGTCACGTGCAAGTCTGTGTGCTTGAGCGACGTCGGTCTTGGCGCTCGCCTCAGTTACCTTTCTGATTAGTAGCAGGATTACGAGATACGAGTAGATCTCACACACCCTGCACACACCCTCCACACACCACCACACCCACCACATGCCCTCATGCCCTTATGCCCTCATGCCGCACGAAGCCCAGACACCCATACACCATCGCGGCCCAACATCTCGAACGACAACGGTGCACATGCAGACACGGCTCAAAGTATGGGTTGATATTTCTGCACATCTAGTCTGGACTCGATCTGCGCGCTTCTAGACACAGCCACCGTCCTGTGCAAGGTTTGTGATACAGAGCGAGGCCGAAACCCTTTGCAGATCAAGTTGACCAGTTGCTCATCCGCTTTCAAGCTAGATCTCGTCATTGCCTCGGCCATGGGTGGAAGCTCTTCAACGGTTTCCTCGACTTGGCCGGCCACGCGGCGACCCGCGACCCGGACCTCGAACACGAGCATGAGCACCAGCGCTAGAATCTGCGCGGCCAGCCTCACCGTGATTCACACCTTCCGACGCCACATGTTAATGCCCACCAGGCGCAGCTCCTCTCGCGCCTCCTCGACTTCTTCCCCCGCCTCGCCCACCACGACCCCGGCCACGCCCACGACCACGAGACGGACGAGCACCCGCCGCCCGCATCTGAAAAGTGCCATTGTTCATCGCCCTCAACATCCTCTTCTCGCAGATGTCAATCAGTCGATCCACGGGGAACGTAGCGCTTGCCCAATTCTTGGCGCCGTTCTCGGGTTAAATAACCTTCGTTGTCGACTTGGGCGAAATAATCATGCCCCTCGTCAATCTTCGAGGTTGCGTTGTTCTCTCTGTCGATGACGAAGTCGTCGATTTCAAAGGCAAGGATGTCGTTGAAGTGAAGTCGTCGCAGTATCGTGGCGTTTAACAAACGATCCTGCAACCCCAGTCAGTTAGGACGCCGGAACAAGCCCGCGCAACAACTCGTACTCACATCAACCATGCTGATGTCGTCGTTCTCCCAGTCCTCCTTGCTCAGGTACTTTGGCGGCGTGGTCCTGTACAACCACTTGTCGCGAAAGTGTTTGCACAAAGTCACGTCGATATAAAGGACGACCCCTCTCTGTCCTGGCTCGTGCGGCTGACCCGAGTCGCCTGGCCAGATGAGCATGTCGAGGTTTCGATGCCTCGCTACCAGGAATGCTCCGAAGCGCAAAAGATCGCGCGTTAATTCTCGGACCTGATTGTGCCGCCTGGCTTCGTCGGTCCTCAGTTGGAAGTGGACGAGGTTCGGCAGGTTGTCGCAGATCTCTGACAGTACCAGGGCAGAGCGGGTTTCGTGGTAAGCTGACAAGAACCAATCTTCTTCCAGGTACAGGTAACAATGCGTCGGAGCATGTTCCCTCCGCGTAAGTGCGCAACAGACTCGTCGAGAAATTTGCTCGACCGTTGCACAAAGACGACGCTCCTCTCGATGATCTGGAAGACCTCTGTCCTCATCTGCCGGCAGACGCCGACGAGCCGGATGATTTCCCGGAATCGAAATCTGGGAGGGTAGACGAGGCCGTGGTAGCGCATGCGCACCGTGATATCGATCTCAGAATCCCCCACATCGAGGTAATCCCAGATCTTGTTGCGGATCTCTCTGGGAAGCTTCCCCAAATGGCATCTCGTGGAACAGAGCAACCTGGCCGGCTGCAGGCGGTGGATTTTTGTACCATAGATGAGGAGGAATAGCGTCTGGAAACTCGTTCAATCGCTCTCCTGGAAGACGTGGAAGGAGTGTGACTGCTGTCTGAGTGGTGTCGACTGACTCTGACTCTGACTCTGGCTCCGGCTCTGACTCCGCCTTTGGCCTGCTGAAGGACTGTTCCGGCGCGATGCAGTTCTCCCCCTCCAAGGCGTTGCTGAAACTCCGCCATTGTATCGGTCGGCCAAGATGGCTGAGATGGATGATGAAGACAGTGCAATCCGAGCGACTTGTAGGTCGAACCTACACGATCCCCAAAGGTGAGTAAGGTGTCTGCTGTCGAAAATTCCAGATAATAAGCTCGATGGTGGGTCGCGACATGTTTATATACCCTGAGACCGCTCCGTAGCCGATCTCTATGAGCGGCAGTAGGCCAGTGACAGTGACAGACATTTCCCATGTCACTCTCTGTCTGTCACGTCACGCACCATGACAGACAGCACGATCTTTCACTTCACCACATGGCACCTTCAACTGAATGGTACACGCCGTTTCAATGTCACCAAGGCACCATATCACGAGGTCGACCAGCCACGACGAGACCTCTCTGGCTTGGTTTCCGAGCGTGATTATCACGTTCATTCAGAGTGACAAAGTCCGAGCGATGTTCAGAACCAGATTGGCATCGAGACCCCGGACTCTGCGACAAACTTTCACACCGGGGTTATTTCTTGCGTGCATAGATATGATAAGCACGAGAACACGAGAGAGCAGTGACCGGCTTTTCTTGCTAATGTGTTGTCAACCGCGCGTTTGTCAGCGTTTGCCCATTATCTGTGCTCGTCCCGGGACGCCGTTGTTTGTACAAGTACATAAAGGTACAGTATACTACAAACGGGGCTTGCACTCGCGGTGAACCCTGCAGGACATTGTCTCCACAAACTCCCCCTGGCACCTCATCAGCAAGCGTGAGGCATGGGATGGGATGGGACCTATCCGTCAGGACAACCTGGTCGTTTTGTTTATCCGTCTCACAGAACCACAGAGCCACAGAGCCACGTGAGGCGTACATAAGAATGCAACGACACAATCCCGTCGCCCCACCATATCGTCGAGGCGTCGACCATGAGTGCTACACGCTGGGAGTGCTTACACGCCGGAAGTGTGTTCAGCGCTGCGGCGTCATGCCGCAACGGTGGTCCCCAATCAAACTTTTGCATCGGGTTGTGAGCGTTAGGGAAAAGATGTCGCATCGATCGTACGGAAAGCTACCGGGAGACTAAGAAAGCCTGTTCCCATCTAACGTACCTCGTGTTGCGAGTTTTGAGAAACTGTGGAAACAGTCCTCCGTACACTATCTCGCGTGCCTACCCGCATAGACTACCTGCCTAGGTACTGTAGCACTTCACCTCTTCGATCACCACAGCTACACTCAGGATGCGTCTGGGCGTCTGGGGCGTCTCAATCGTTTGTCATGGTCACTATCATTACAAGGCATCGCCCGGTATCTTCGGAGAGTATACACCGTATATAACATCAAATCGTGGCCGAAGGCTTTCGGTAATTCAGCACTTTCGAGGCTTCATGCTACTACATACTGTAACGTCCCCATAACGCCGCGCTAACGGAATACTAATCTAAACACGGCCTCCATCTTTCGAGTCATCGCACATCCTTTATAGCTGGATCACGTCGACCTCGCTGAAGTCGGGTGGCGCACCACTGTACACGCACCGACCCTTGGAGTCGAGCCCTTGTCGAACATTGCTGACCCAGAGATGGCTGCTGAAACGGCCGATGCGGTGCACCTCATCGTCACTAACGCCGAGTTCATCGCGGGGGATCCAGATGACAGGTCGCCGTGCTCGGAGCGCACTGTGCTGGAAGGCCCTCTGCACCAGTTTGTCACGCTCCTCCGGGCTCAGGTCTTCTAATTCGTCGTTGACGCCACCGAACAGTGCGTCGGCCAGTTCGCTTCGAGCAGCGCGTTGGGCCTCCACGTCCTTCTCATTACCGGTCAACGGATTGAAGTTGTTGAGCTTGTCGAGAACCTCCTTGGGCTGCTGTAATAAGTTCTTCTGGCCGCCCCGAGCTTCCGAGTGTGCCCGGCTTCGACTCTGTGATGGACTTTCCCATTCGCCGAAATTCGACGCTCGCCGGTTTCTGGCGTTGCTTCGATCTGCCCAGGATTGGCGCTGCCCTTTTTGCGAGATTCCGCGGGGCACCAACCCTTTGGTTGTGCCGGCCGTCTTGTGAGCGGCGGCTTTCATCATGCGGACGCCCTTGCTATCCTGGTCCAGGTTCATTGCAATCTCCGGGTTCTGGAACTCGTACGGCTCGAGTTCAGGCAATTTTTTCGACCGTTGTCTCCGGAGTCTGTCTTGCTTATCTTGCTCGATCTCTCGGAGCTCAATATCGTGCTGCTGGCGATCTTCGTCTAGGGACTGTCGCTCGTTACGCTCCAGCTGATCCTCAAGATCCTCAACTTCGTTCTCGTCCTCAATCAGGCCATGCTTCTCGCGCATTGCCCGAGCAAACTCTTCATCTCTCCGCACGGCGTCGTCTTCGAGGGTGATGGGCAGATATCTGAACAGCGGGCTGAATGCATTGTTCAACAACATCTGGTATCCAGCGGTGAGGATCAAAATCACAATCATCCCGATGGCTTGGCCTGAGCAAGCCACGTTCCCGTGCTCATCTCGAACGAGGAAGAACATGCCTATCAAGGCTATCTCCATCACATAAACACCCACAAATGTGAAGTTGATGGCGTTGGGATACAGGAGACCCCCCGTGTCACGAGTAAAGCGGGTGACGTACAGGGTGTTGAATCGATAAACAAACCAGAACAAGGTGAAGGTAACGATGTTGAAGATCAATATCAGCGGCGATATGACGGAATAGATCAAGCCAATGCATGCCAGATTGGTATACACTGGGAAGAACGTGCCCCACTGAATGTTTGACAGCTGAGTTTGTCTGGTGAATTTCGCCCGTGCAGTACTGTCGAAGAGTGGTGCGAGGACGAACCAGCCGATGAGTGATCCAACTTGCAGGAGGGCTCCTGCGCTCACAGACAGAGCTTGCAGCAACATGTAAGAGAAGAAGTAGTTGCTGGCTTTTGGGATGTTGTTGCCCAGTAAACTCGGAATGTTTGTGAAGCCGTCCACGCTCGTGAAAAGAGCAAAGAATTGTGTCAAGGCCGACGCAATAGATACGACCAAGAACAACTGGACGAACAAGAAGCAAAAGTAATAGCGTTGAACTGATATCTCCACGAGCATGTTGGATGGCGTCCCTTGCAAGCGAACCAGGAACCGGAGAATCAGAGGCAAGAGGAACAGGAGAAGACCGAGCAAGGCCGCAGGCAAGACACCCTGTAAGACACTTCGAATCCAAGCAGGGATTCTGAGGACCCAATGAAGCCAGCTCCATGTTTTGGCGGCAGTTTCCAGTTGCGAGAGAGCCGATGTAAAAGCGACGGGGATGGCCCATAGAATGATCATCCCGACGACAATGACAATAACAGCGCCAGTCCGAATGTATGCCTGCCACCATGGGATCGACATATTGTCCCATATGACGTCGTTGGGATCGATTTCGACCAGCCGGGGAGCCATCTGCTTGGGAAGGTGGTGACTGACAGCTTGACAGGCCATGTGTGCAGCGACCTGGTGATTGAATTGAACAAATGCAGAGTTCATGAGAGGAAACCGCTCAGGATGGGCCTGATCATCTTCAATCTCCACGTTGAGTCTGGCAACCTCTTTGCGGCAGTATCGGATTGTGTCGACTTTCTGGCCGAGCAAAGGGAGAGAGGGCATCCACTGCCAGCCGAAGATTGGAAGCCTCATTGTTTCACGGTCCTTATCGGTCAAGTAGCGTCGCCAGACAGCGTCATCCGGGTCATGTTCGAAGTTCCATTCGAAGGCGTTGGGATAATCGACAGGCTCCTTCTCGTCCGGGCCCAAACCAATAGCTTTCTTGAACTTTTCGAATTTGGTCAACTGTTTCTCGGATCGAACTTTTTCTCCTCCCATTGTACTACCTTGGGAGATGGGGCTCTGGGGTCTTGACCGGGGTGACTTCTCGAACGATCGACCAAGGTTCGAGGGCGAGTTCTGGTTCTTCGCGCTCGCGTCTTTGGCGTGTCCCGTGGTACGCTTCTCACCGAATACCTTCTCGTTCTTCTTTGGTGAAATTGGGCTCGAGTCCTCCACTGGCACCTCGGGCTCTTCGCGAGAACTCCGACCCAATTCCTTGTGCTGAGCGTCGGGCACGACGAATCCGTTGGTGGTGTCGATAGTATTATTGACTTCCTTGTTAACACCGCGGATACCACCCAGGATCCCCTTGCCAACCTTGTCCAGGCCGTGCGTAACCGCAGAGATGCCGCCACCGATGATAGGGATGTTGAACCTATCTCGTTGAGGCTCCTGAACCTCTTGCTCGTCTTCTGAATCCGAGGACGAAGACGCGGCGTCATTTCGACCGTTGACGACCTGGCGCAGATTATGCTGGACCTGGTGAGGATTCCCTGTGGTAGTCCCGTGGCCATGAGCAGCGCGATCACCTGCCTCATCCCTAATGGTGGCACGTAGCTTCTTCTCGTCCTTTGTCAATTTCTTGCCGGCCTCCTTCTCGGCTTTGGCGATGTTTTCCTCGTTCTTCTTGAAGCATTTCTTGATGAGGTCAGTCTCAGCCGTCTCGAGCTTTGCAGCGAGCTTATCGCGTCGTCTGATCTTGTCGCTCAGCTCGTCAAAATTTCTGTTGATCCAGATATTTCTGAGACCACCCGGGAACACGTCGTAGAGGCCGTCAAGGGCTTCCACATTGCACCACTTCTGAGGGATGGAGCTGACCAGGACGGTCGTCGCGGAAGCACGCAGGCGGTGCTGAGGCGATGTCAGATACGCCTGCCGCATGCGAATGTAGTTCCGTAGCTCGTCAAACGAGACATAGCAGATCCAGACGATCAGGAAAAGCGCCAGAAGCCAGTGGGCCCAATATCGTCCTGTGTGGTCGGGGGCGACATTGCCCCATGCGAGCTGATCGAGGCCAGTCACATTACTGGCATTTTCGTTTCTGCCCAGTGCAAATCGGGCTCCACGACCGTCGACCATGTTGAGGGGAATCAGGATTGGCAAGATAACCAAGGCAGCTGGAACGAATATCTTGAGCAAGGTGCGGAGATATCTCAGGAAGAAGTAGGCATCCAGACCGCACTTCTGGACGAAGTCGGAGTTGGACGTGCTGACCACGGGCTTGATCCATTTCCACCATCCTGGTGGTGAAGGTTTTGTGCGTTCTCTTTCTGGTACAAGGTAGGTTCTGGGCTGGTATATTCGTGCGAACCGGTCCTTGATGAGCAGGAAAATGACGACTTGGATGGCAAAGACCGTTATGGCGGTGACGAGGGAGGCAGCGAATTGGCCGGCACTTTGCCCATTTTTCTGTCCTGCTGCGGTCTGATTGCCGCCGAGGTTGAATGTGTCATTAACCACGCTCGACATTGTGTTGTGTCAGTGCCTCTGAGGGAGGGTATGATTAGGTTAGGGTTCGTTATTGAGGATCCGCAAAAGCATCGCTAATCTTTTTGTAACGAGCTGCAAAAGGGGGGCCAGTGTGTGATGTTGAGGAGCGTCACCAGCGTCAGTGACACAATCACGATGTGACTGGAGAATAGACTGCTTCGAGTGGCTCCCAAGGGCAATCCTCCTTTCAGGGCTGGAAATAACTGAACGCACAAAGCGAGGGCAGAAGGTCAAGGGAGGTAGTTGTAAGGAATGTACAATGGAGAAAGATCAGCACAAAGCAAGCAAGATGAAAGTTGGATAAAGGGCGTGGAGGACGTGGTTCGGGTCATGGCATGGCCAGCATGGAACATGGATCAGTTAGTGATCGGGAAACAATTGTGTGAGATCTCGTGTCGGTTAACCACACGCGCCAGTGACGTCGTCGGCGGGCTGTTTGACGCACGGGAAGCCTTGACAGCCAATAGCTTCGGGCGCCGAGCCCCAGATCAAGCACCTGGCGCTCGGTGGGCGCCACGCCTAGACCACACGCAGTTTAGGCGGGGCGTTTGGCGCTCGCGCTCGCCCGCGATGCCCATGGCAATTTCACCGTCCCATCTGACGGCCATTCTGTTTCGTGCCTTGGAACCTGTTGCACTACACGCCAGGACTCGTGGCGCAGCAGGTATTGTTGACCGATCGTTACCGCGCAGTCGTCGTGGCCATGCGATGAAGAAAGCCTGAAACACCATGTCAACCCTGTCGAATCTCGAATGCAGGAAGGGACGCGCCAGAGGCACGGATGTATGAATAAATTAAGAATGGGAGTACGAGTTACTTTTGTGGCCGGAAAAATAATGACACGAGCAAAGCTTGAGTGTTGGAGCTCGTGTATTGCACTACGAGGCTGAGAGACGTTGAAATGGCCGCATCAACCACACATCCGTACTCTTCGCTTGAGTAGATCTGCCGTTGGAATATCACTATGGTACCCGTATTGATGGACTGAGAATTGGCCAGGTTGGCGTGGTTTGCGATTCCTGCCCTTGCGCTTAACTACCAGCCAGACTGATTGTGCTGAACAGCTGTCCCTCAGGCTGGTCGGCTCGCTTTCCCAAGCCAAGGTATCGGTTAACTTCGCCAAACTTGAAGGTGGATCGGAGCCTTGACTCCGTACAAGGTAGTCGCAAAGACAATCGCGACATCTCCGCACAAGACCCATGGCGACGCTCATCTCGGCGTGATCTGTACGGAGTAAAACACTCCCCAGGGGTCGGAGCGAAGTAATTAGCCCTCTGAACAGGGGCTTTCAAGAACCGAGCCAGGCTCTGATCAACGACTACATCGACCCGGTCATGCCCGCCTCCTATGCCTCGACAGGCTATTCAAGCTGCAATACTGGACCTGGAGATGACGTGCCCCAGAGATGGTCTCGGACACTGGATGAGAAATGTATCTTCACGATTCGAAGCGTTCTGAGGGGCATTACTGCAGACGAGGCCGGCAGGGACAACTGACAACTCTGGTACGAGTACTTGAATAGTCTGATTGATGATTGGCGTGGCGTTGCAATAGGCTCTCCATCCATCGCTGACTACAGTACTGAGTAGATCGAATGAATCTTGACCTGACCGATTTCTCCGTCTCCCTCAATGACTGACCGTACCACTCAGTACGAGAGTGAGTGATTGAGTGAGTGAGTTGGATCCTGGATCGTAGTCTTGCGATGGTCACGATGGTGAACCTCGGTGGATCCAAGCCGAGGTTCGATATACTGTGTAGAAATGTCATCCCATGTCGCGCGCCTAGTAAGAGTACAGTGTACTGTGTCGGAGCACTATCTACGTTCCCTCTACCTCAAGTGAGGAAGCACCCTGGTAGTTGAGGTAGATAGATCATTGAGGCCATCTCATCGAAGCCGGAACCAAAGGCAGGGCCCGAACCGGAGCTGGCCAACCCGCACAGCAACCCGACTTGTCGAATTGCCCTGTCTCAGTACTCCGTGCTCCATAATTATCTCTATCTGCATCGATTTCTGACTACTTCCTGCCATGGACCCCCATTTAATCAACGTAACCACCACCCCCAGAGGCATCACCACCATCACCATCACACGCCCCCACCGCCGCAACGCCGTCAACCCAGCCACCGCGCGCGCACTGTACGCCGCCTTCCTGGCCTTCGAAGCGGACTCGACTCAAAAAGTCGCCATCCTCACAGGCGCGGGCGGCACATTCTGCGCGGGCGCCGACCTCATCGACCTCACCGCCGCCGCCCCGCCGCCGCGGCGCAGCAACCCCGCGCTCCCAAGGACAACGACAACGACAACGACGACAACAATGCCTCCCACGCCAACCACCTCGAACCCGTGCAAGGGCGCAACATTGGCCCCATGGGCCCGTCACGCCTGCGCGTGACCAAGCCCGTCATCGCCGCGGTGGCGGGCCACGCCGTCGCGGGCGGCCTCGAACTCAGTCTCGTGGCCGACATGCGCGTGGTGGAAGAGGACGCCGTCTTCGGCGTGTACTGTCGGCGGTGGGGCGTGCCGCTGATCGACGGCGGCACCGTGCGGCTGCAGGCGATCGTCGGGCTCGGAAGGGCGCTGGACATGATCCTCACGGGGAGGGGGGTGTCGGCCGCCGAGGCCCACGCCATGGGGTTGGCGAACCGCGTGGTGGCTCGGGGCAAGGCGCTCGAGGAGGCGACGCGCATCGCCGAGCAGCTTGTCGAGTTCCCCAACGGGTGCATGCTCGCGGATCGCGCGTCGTGCTACTATGCTGCGTTTGACGCGTCCGGGTTCGAGGATGCCATGCGGAGGGAGTACGATGAGGGCGTCGGCGTCGTGGAGCGCGAGGGCATGGCTGGGGCGGCGAGGTTCGCGGGCGGTCAGGGCCGGGGCGGCGTGTTTGGGAAGTCGAAGTTGTGAGCTGCTTTTGGGACGAAAACTTCTGGGGAAAGGAGAGGAATGGGGACTGTTAATGATTGTTCCCATCTCCAGGGGTTTCAAGGCGTTTTATCTAACACTTCTGGAGCAATGATATTTCTATTTGCTACGAGTACTCCCCTGTTCACTTTCGCGACGACGAGTCAACGCCCTCCTCCTCCATAGTAGCCTGCGCTTTCTCCGCCACCGCCACCGCCACCGGCTCCATACTGACCCTGGCTGGAGTATGGTTCCTGGTACGTCGTCTGATATTGATATGGCTGTCCTTCCTGACCCTGACCATAGCCGTAACCTCCCGGTTCCTGCCGGCCGTACTGTTCATACCCCGCTGGGGCCTGCATGGGCATCGGACTGGGTGACCTCATGTCTGAGCCGTAGCGGTCGGCATGCGCCGCAGCCTCGTGAAGCTCGCTGGATCCCCCGACTGGCACGTCGAGACCACCTGGACCGGTGTCATTTTCGTCCAGCCCGCGGGCGCCCCCGCCTGGAAAGCCGCCCATGAATTTGGAGTACTTGTTCAACTGGCTGGCCACGCCATGTACTCCAGGTATAGGTAGCTTCTCGGCCATGCCTAGCATGTTGTTGAGGCCGCCACCGCTGCCGCCGCCACCGCCATGGTGTTGTTGGGCGGGTTTGTGCTGCCCCGTGAAGTTGCCCACAAGATCTCCAACCATACCCAATGGGTTGTTACCATGGCCTCCACCGTGGCCTCCACCGGTGTGTTGTCCAGGGATGAAGTTTGCCAATCCCCCAAGTCCTCCGCTGCTGCCCTGATGGCCGCCGGAGCCATGTTGTTGACCAGGAATGAAGTTTCCCAAACCTCCAAAGCTTCCACCGGTGTTGTGGGTTTGACTCGAGCCGGCGGGAGGCTTGTGCATATGCTCATTGACGCCTGCTTTGTGATTTTTGCCTGCCCGGACAGCATCAGAGTTCAAAACCGCTTCGAGGCCACGACCACGATCCGGCAGTCCATTGACCCAGGCTTTCACCGCATTAAACATGTTGCGATGGCATTCATTGCCCTCATTCCTGATGGCCGGATGATGGAAGATACTTTCAACGTCATGCATCACCTGTTGCACAGGCACATCGGGGTGCTCCCAAGCATATAGCACCCGGGGAGCGATGAATTTCAGGATTTCAGCAGCCACATTACCAGCGGGCTCGTTGAGTATATTGCTAAAGTGATCCTTGCTCAGCATCGAGTGTGTCGGATCACTGGAGTGGGCATTGGTCCAAACCTCGAACTGGTGCTTTGCGGACGAATCCAGAACTTCCGAACTTCCCGACTGCAGTGTCTTCGAGATGGCGTTGATCACGGGTCGCACGAACGGCGCCAAAAGCGACAGGACGAAGACCGTCAGCGTCTCGGTGATACGGTCGACAAGAGCCTCAAGACCAGGGATCTTTTCAATTATGCTGCTAATCTGTAGGCATCCAAAGGTTAGTATCATTCTCGCGGAAGCACACAAGGCAGGTGCGTAACTTTAAAACACTGGATATGAATTTGGATGGGAGTAGAAAACTTACGGTCCGGACGACCTTGTCGCGGAAAACAAGGATGGGATATATCTGGGCAACAGTCTTGGCTGGATCGAAGTTTGGCATACCCGGAAGACCTGCAGGTGCAGTAACTTGTGATTGCGAGGGCTGTCCCACCTGCCCGTGCTGAGGCTGTGAAGCAGGAGCATGAGGATGTTGTGGTTGCTGCGACCATTGATCGACCAGTGGCTGGTGCTGCTGCTGCTGCTGCCAATTTTGTTGGGAACCAGAGTATTGGTCCTGCGAGTTGTAGTTATGGCCCATGTTTGGATCGTGCCATTGAGCTTGATGTGGAGGTGGATTATTGAAGGCGTGAGGTGCGCCTTGATCATGCCACTGCTGCTGGTATTGCGGTGGGTTTTGCCCCCAACCTGGTTGCTGGTGTCCTTGGTTCCAACTGTTGGATGCATCATAACCTTGTTGTTGCCCAGCGAACCCTGCATGCGAGGCTCGAGTGCTATCCCAATCGTCAATGCCTCGCGATGACCCTCCGTAGTCATCCACGCCGCGAAAGCCTCCCTGTGATCCATAACCCTGCTGCTCGTTGGCACGAGCTTGCGCCTGCGAACTCGCTTGCAGCTGTTCCGCTTCGTCACAAAGACCCTTGGTCCCCGGCACTTTAGACAACAACTTGACCAGGGACATCAGAGGGTTTGATGACTGCGCTGCCTGCTGAGCTGTACCGAGAGCATTGTCCATCTCGTTGACTTCGCTCTGCGTAAAGTGGTCGGTAGCTTCTCCCAGCACAGAATGATAGAAGTCTACCATTCCAAATGTGCCCGTCACGAGAGGGAAAACGTGCTTCCCACGGAGGTTGATTGCGGTGGCCGTTCCGACGTGAGGGAATACGTTGTGGTACCCCAACTCCCGAAGGGAGAGCTCGACGTAGTTGGTATGTGCACCAAAATCTTCGAGTGTATGCAGACCTTGACCCAGACAACGCAAGGCCTCCGCAAGATCCTCGTCTTTTCCTTTGAAGAACCCATGGCCGTTCGTGTACAGGCGGCCATGGTGGATGCTGCGCTCAAAGCTGTACTTGACAAAGGCGGCGCTGGTGGCCCAGTCACCCTTTCCGTTGGCGATGTAATTTTTCATCCCGGTCTCCATGTCGACTTGCAGCTCAATGTCACGCACTGGACCACGGAGACGGACGTCAAACTTCCGGGCGTCTTCGTTGTCGTTGTAGTCTCTGGGATTGCTGAAATTCCTGTCAGCAAGGGCTATCGTACTTGAGATCAAAATCCCTACTCAATGTGCTCCTCTGGCCGGTAGACACCGAGGCGCTCCGCCGTGACCTCGAACTCTGCCGTGGCATAGCCAAATCCGAGGAATGACAGTAGCCAGACAAGAATTCGAATGGTCTCGGGTTGGGCCTTCTTCAGGGCGCCAGTATCCATGGCCTGGCTGTAGTCCCGTAGCCAGTTCCTGGGTACGTCCAGCCCGTTAGCTGTGGTCTTTTTGGCTTGAACGAAGACGGGACAAACATACCCGAAGTAGACCCTCTTGATCATCAGGGAATTCCATTTGTGGTGACGGATACATGACACAGTCTTCAAGACGTCTTCAATATCACCATGGCGCCAGTTCTTGCCCTCTACCGCGGATATCGAGGCAATGTCTACACGATGGGTCAATGTCGCGGAAACACTCCATTTCGGGCTTACTCACTGCCGGCACCGAAAGCGTGTGCCTCGAGCGTGAAGAGCACCAGACCTAGGAGGAGGACTAGCACCACGTTCCGCGAAAGCAGCCCCATGTTGAGTTGCCTGTGGGATTGTTTCAAGGGAGGGAGGTCAAGACAGTCGGTATATTATGTGACAGCGACAGCCGAGTTCGCTCACTTTGGGTTCAAGTTGGGGTGAACACTGCCAAGATGAACTTTCGGTGCCGCTCTCTGCATCAAGTTCAGGCCACCTCACTTCACTAACCTCGTGCCCTGATATCACTGTGCATACTCTACTTGTTCCTAGGTAAATACCACAGAGATGCCATCCCGCGGCCCCTCTTTGCACCCGTTGGTCGCTCTATCGATTGACCCAAATCGCGAGGCGAAGCTGGTGCCACTATGATACACATGCTGGGCACAGCCACGAACCCCCCGCTGCCGTGCGTGGCCGCGACATCGCTGGCTGGACATGCAGGGATGATTGGTCAAGACGCTCAGCACCGCCACCAGGTTTGGCGACCACGGGAGCGATGAGTCAACATACGTCCGGTACCTTGCAGAGCTGAATCGCCGACACAGGAGGCCCTGCTGTGCTCGTCCTGGTTCAGTGCAGATACCGCAGACGAGGCATTGAGTCGGCGAGTTCGGCAGCACCGATAAATAGACTGCCTTACAAAAAAACCACGGCAGGCGATTGATGGCATTGTCGACACAACTAGGTGGAAGGTGACAAGAGGGTGATATAAAGCGTCTTGTTCAGCTTTCTATCAGCTAGAAGTACATCTCATAGCGGCGGTAAGCTACCCGCCGTGTTGCTGGACAAAATAAATGGCCCGTAGAAGTCCGACATCATTTTAAGCCAGCCGTCAACCCGTGAGATGTGTGCACTCTGTTCCGTTCTTCAGGAACTCAACATAACCAACAAACGAACCCCACGTCGACCCATCTGGTATCTTTGTATTTCTCGTCCGTCATTCCCAACCCAGTAGATGACTGTGCAACAACTCCCAAACCGCATATCAGATAAAACCCGCCTATGTGATGATGATCGTCGTCGTCTATCATAATCTCTTGCCCCGGGAATGCTCAAAACTCCATGCTAAAACAGATTGTCTTTTTGGATCACCGGGTGCCGCCATACTCCTTTGACCCTATTCTTCCACACAAATGACTGATATCATGATGTCAGCTTCGTCAGAATCGCTATGCCTTTCGCTCAATAGAAACAGTTTTCCGTGGTCGTGAGATACATATGTACAGATGAGAGAGATGATTTGAGTTGGAGGAGATCTCGACCACGGGCAAGGCAAGGCAAGCGACACATCACAACATCAGCCAGCACGAATACAGCGACACAACGACGACAGGCACGGAGGACAGAGCACTCGTAGGTGGAGGCTCTCTTACCACCGGCGAGCGGCAGTTGTTTGTTGCATCATACCTGGCGAGATTGATGACGGTGGGCTTGCGATGCGGTTGCCAGTGGACGGATTGACAATAGGGATGGCGTTGTTGCGAGAGCGAATAGCCGACGGTTGGTGGATTTTGAGGCTGTTGCTGCTCGTGTACGCTGGTGGGGACATGTAAAGAGACGTTGCGGCGGAGGAGGAGATGGACAAAGACGGCGTGATTTGAGGTTGTATTTGAGATTGAAGAGGAGATGAGTCGGGCGAGCCACTTGAGAGAGATGAGCGGTCTGACGACCCTGACGTGACAGACTGACGCTTTCCGAGGGAGTCAGCAAGAGATGAAGTCGTGGAGAGAGGCTCGCCACAAACCTCATCAAATGTCAAGAGATTTGGACAGAACTCGAGGTCATCGTCGAGGTCGAATGAACGGCCGGCCTCGAACCTTGCCCGATAGGCGAGGACGCTGGGCGGCTCGGCAATAACTATCTCTTTCACAGGTTTGGCAGCCCGGTACTGGCGATGAGAGTTCTGTGCCGCCGATAATCGGGGTGCCCTTCGAGAGCGGCCATGGTGGCTATGAGACTGAGGCATGGGTTGCGGGTTCTGGGCGTGGTGTTGCTGATAGAAAAAGGTCGACATGGTGCAGCTCGGATCCTATTTGGAGGAGAAAAGGGCCGGAAGCTGGACGGTCTAGGCAGGAATATTGCGGTGCTGCGGAAGGATGTTGTGGTATATTTGCGGATGCCAGCTAATCAGACCGTGGCGAAACAACGATGGGTAGGAGACGTCAGCCGATCAACAAAGAGCCTCGTGGATCAGCGCAATTGGTCTAAGCTGAAAAGTCTTGTTTGGGAAGAATGTAAATGGAGGTCAATGAGGAGCACTGGTTTGATATGGGTGGGAAATAGAAGGGCTGATGGAAGGTGGCAGGCAACAGATGGTACTAGTAGCGCAGTGTATGTGAGATGGGATGAAAGCAGCGGTGGGATGGTGATGTAGGTATGTAGCTCGCGGACTGGCGGTGGGCGGATGGCAAAAAAGGCGAGAGGGCAAGAAGGCAGAGCGAGCCAGATGGGCGAGTCTTTACTTGGATCCTGGCACGCGGCCCACTTCTCGGCGCCGTGATGGTGCTCTGATTCGCCGCCGGTCGGCCAGTGCGTTCCGACTAGGATGCAGGCTTCCGTGGTCAACCACGCAATTTGCCAGTGGCGAACTCCACACCTAGCGCTATCACCGCAATTCTGAGAACGGCCTGCAGGCTGAAAGCGTCCGGTGATAGCGCCTACCACGGTATTTTCCAGTACACGGGCCTTGTTTGGGCCCATCCCAGTCTCTGGCACAGGCCCAGCCCGATTGTCCGCTAATCTCTTCAGGGACAAGCAACGAGCGCTTTGTGGGCCAATCATGCCGTGCCTGCCTCCTTGCTGCCCGTCGTGGCCGTCGTTCCACCGCCCCAGAACTGCCTCGATGCTGCAAGCTGCACGCCTGCGCCCTCCTCCACACCATGAGCGTGTCTTCACACCCTTCCCTCTCGTCTATCCCGCCAACGAATCGCTGCTGTCCACGCCCAGTGCGACCCAATCCGCTTGAACTTGACGTTTGTTGACCGGGTAAATCAGGTAAGGCGAGAGAGTCGTCTGCATCTCGACCTGCTGATCAATGGGATCTTTGCTTTTGCAGCCGTAGCTCGTACCAGCCGTGACCAGCCTTATGCTGTCGACCGTGCCCGGCGTCTCCTGACATTCGGACAAGGGAAGGCTTTAGGCGGCATCTATGTGGAGATGGCCGGTTTGAAGCTTGCTCGGCTTTCTAAATGAGGATGACCCCTCGACCTGGTACGAATAGCTTCAGCCGTGCGATACCATTGGTGTCTCAGCTCTCGAAGGGTCTACCCCACCTGGCATTGCCCGCTTCATTTCCTCCTGTCTCTGAGCCAGCGATTCTTGTAGCTCATACTGGGTAGGGTACTGAGGCCTCAGCGTCAAGGGGTGCAGGCTTGCTTGGTCACGAGAGCACTACAATCTCTCATTACTGGCGTGCCCCAAACGGTTCGGGAATGCCGTCGTAGCGCTTTTTGCTCTCCTCCATACACGGTATGCCCCAGGAACAGTTGAACGATCCAGGACCTAGTCCAGTACTCGGGTCTGCGCCTTGCATTTAGGAATAGTCTACTAGGAAAGCTTCCGAGGCAGATCAATGCCCTGAAAACCACGTTCCACTGCAGGTTCCGAAGCTGAGCAAACCAAAACCCCACGGCGCTATGACGGCCAGGTCCCAGGAGAGTCCAATCGACCCCTGAAAGGTGGGAAGTAGGAGTCCAATTCGAGGCTGGAGCTCGCGCCACTGACTGCATTTTGCTTTCGGCGCTCGCTACGAGAGGGCGCTTCGAAACACCACGGACAAGCTCGGATCAAAGATTTTCCCTTTGCAGCTATTCCTTCCCTCGCGTGGATCCGAGAAACTCTCGTCTCGGCCACGGCCGTTACCCCAGATCACTCTCTCGACGACTACCGGGTATCTGTCCAAGCCACCTTGAACCTATCATGGAGAACGGATACCGCATGGAGGCGGACTACATAGTACTTAGCCTATTCATCCCGGATCTGTCAAATGGCATGCTGCCCGTCTTGACACGAGTGTGCAGCTTGGCACCCAATGTGTGCGGCTACGATCGGATTGTTCTCGGCGCACCTTGGCTTGCCTGAAGAGGTTATACGGTAGAGACGTCCTGGGTAAGATGTTGGAATCATGCAAGCCATTTTCGCCATTTCGGACCTCTTCAGTGCTCTTCGTAGCAACCGACAAGATTACCCGCTGGTGGCAGAGGCAGACCACCAGAAATGGCCTGCCGTTGCTGGGCTGACCAACCTTGCATCTGGCATGGACCCAGGTGGACTTGGTGGAGAGACATTCTGCGGTATATCGAGTGTGCTTGACTCCTTCGTTTTCCCTGGTACCCGCAACCGAGCTCTCAGTAACGCACAGCTTGAACATTTCGGATCGCAAACTCGGCTGTTCATCGCTTCGACCCGACCCAGGTGCGGTAGATCGTGACTCCAGGGTATGCCCTGGCGGCGGTCGAGCATTTCGAAGACCATCCAAAGTTGTCGCTAGCATAAAGCCATGCGACTTCCATGTCCGGTTGCTTCTGGTGTGGCTAAAAAGAGCACGACGCTTGCGTTCCACGGCGGCGCCCGTGACCTTGTGAGTTTTCGGCTGTCACCGAAAAGTCCACGGGTATGTGGCCTGACGCAGCCTCTGACTCTCCCAGAGCGAAGTGTGAATCCCGATTGGATGATGGCGTAGACATCGCATGCTTCACTGTGCACTGTGTAGACACGGCCGGGTCTTGCGGCTCGTGGCGTGTTCGTGCGATGCTCGCAATCCAAGGTATAGGCATGCGCGCCGCCCGCAATGCCTATTGTCCTGCACGACCACCATCCCAGACGACGAAATGGGACTGCTGGACAGTGTAGGTCACTGACATCGCATCGCACCGCATAGCATCGTACCGTATCGGCCTTTCATGAATTAAGGATACTCTCTCTGTGCAGCCTCCTCAAATCGGTGCATCCACTTCTTGACCAGCTCTCAGTCTCCTCTGCTCGTCCCCGTGTTGCGGCTCAAGCCCATCTTCACGGCCACGTCCAACACCATCATCCAACTCCACCAAATCCACATCCACATCCCGTCCATTGTCTTCCTCGCCACGCATCAAGCCCTCCGCCTCCCCATGGCCCGCTGCCGTCGGCTCCATACCCTCACCCACAGCGGATTTCTTCCCCTCCTCCCTCCGCCCAATAACCACATTCCCGGCCGCCAACATGGCCGCGCCAGCCCACCACATCCCGCGCAACTGCTCCCCGAACACCATCCACCCTAAGAGTGCGGTAATCATGAAATTCGCAGACACATTGATGATGCTGACGCGCGTGGTGGATTCGGCGCGGGTGAGCGCCGCCGTGAAGAGGGCCCACATCAGCGCGTTGAACAGGAGGTTGAGGCCGAAGAAGGCGCCGCGGACGAGGACGTCGACGGTGGTGTTGGCAGGCGAGAGGCCTAGCAAGGTGGCCACCGAGGCGGACAGCGACGAGGTCAGCGAGGTTGTGGTTCTGTGGGTTTCCGTGAAAGAGGTTCGTTAGCTACTAGGTATTGATCGATGGAGGAAGTGCTTCATGTTTCGTCTGGCAGACCTACAGTTTTGCAAAAACACCGTTGAACGCCGCGCAGGCGCCGCTCGTGACGGCGAGGAGCATCCACATGGGTTGCCTGCGCCAGGCGGCGACGAGGGACGAAACGTCCATGGCTGCGTCGGCCGGTGGTGTCGGTACCTTCGCTCGAGCTCTGAGGCGCGGACTGGCGGTACGGCCTTCTGCGGACGGGTTACGTTCTTTTCTACGCTGTCGAGCCGTGGGCGGCATTGTGGGTGGAGGACATCTACATACTGAAGCTGGGAATGGAGCTCGAAGCGCGACTGCGCACTAGTTTGCACGTACTCACACGTACTCCGTACTGCCTCACTGGTACAGCAGTTGCAGGGGTGGCCGGCGAAGAGAACCCTGACGGGGTTTGTGATTGGCGGACTGGTTGATGAAGGCTATGCATGCCCATCACTCGTCACTCTCATCGACCATTACCTGAATTCTCTGCTGACGAGGCACTCGTACTCGTACTTGCTCGGTATTATCCAAAGTCGGACCAAGAACGCAACAAGTGATAAGCACTACGTCGAACATCGTTTCCACAAAGAGAGATTAGTATATAGAGGTCATTTGCAGAGAGTACATTAGCCATGATGATGAGGAACCCTCTTCCTGTCCTCCATCTCCTAATACTGAATGCCTGAACGCCTACTTCGCCTTTCCGTTTGTCATTGCAGATGTCGGTGAGGAGACCTTCGCTGTCATCGGCGTCTTGTCCTCGGCAGGCTTGCCGCTCTCCTCCTCTCCAGACCCGGTCTCGCCGGTCTGAACCTGCTTGCTTAACGACCCTTCCTCATATCCCAGAGACTTGACAATCCCCAAGCCCTTTGTGCGCCCCTCGCGGAAAAGAATCCTTTCGCCGACACAAAGAAACTCCGGCCGCTGCACGAAGCGGAACGCCACTGTAGCCCTGTCGCCGGTCCGAATATACTCGCGATCGATATCGATAATAGCGCAAGTCTGGCTAACAGGTCCGACGTGTAACATGGCTTGGTACTTCGGGCGGATGGTGGTTGCATGAGACAAGATGAGTACCTCGGCCACAAATTCGCGGTAGACCTTGGGTGGCGGGCCTTCCAGTTTCGGGAGCACCACCATTCCCTTGCGCACGTCTTTGCGCCGTAGGTTTCTCAGCGCTAGTGACGCAGATTGGCCAGCGCTGCATGCCGGTACTTGTATCCTCTTTCGCTCGATCGAACGAATTTTGGTGTTTTGGAACTGGCCGAGGGAGTCGGGACCAACCAGGACGGTGTCACCAGCATGAATCGCACCAGACTTCACCACGCCCGAGACGACGGTGCCCACGAAGGGAACAGAGAATGTGTCGTTGATGTGGAACTCGAAAGGGGCCTGGTCATCGTAGTGGCCGTGATGCGGGAGGATATTAAGGAACGTCCGCACAAGGTCCAGGCATTCTCCAGTGACATTCGAGACCTGGAACACCGGGCAGATCCGTTGCGACACGAATTGTGTTGCGGTCATGACTGTCTCCTCGTGTGTCTTGATGAAGATTGGAATCTTTCGTGCGCCTGGAGATTTGAGGATTCTCGTGATCTGCGTGATAGTCTGCTCTAGGATCTGTGGCGGACAGATATCGATCTTGGTGATCACGACCATGACAGGGACATTCAAGGCCAACGCTATGCCGAGGTGTTCCTTGGACATGCCGATAAGTCCATTGTTGGCGGCAACCATGAGTAGACAATAATTTGGCGCTGAAGAGAGCAGACCAAAGACTGTGGTCCGGAGATACTTCTCGTGACCCGCCAGATCAGTAAAGGTGATGACCTTGGCCGACCGGGTGCCAATTTCTCCCCAAGTCAACTTGCGGCCAGGGACACTAGACGTGACGACCTGGCCATGAGTATCGAACCCCATGATCTCCATGCCTACAGACGAGGTCCGGCCGGATTCGATCTCGTGTTTGTGTCGAAACAGATTGACTCGAGCCTTGCCTCGGCCGTCGTCAAGGTTTCCTTTGACGAGGACACCCAACATGGTAGACTTGCCAGCATCAACATTGCCGACTACCGCTATCCGTGTCTCGATGACCTCTTCGGCGGCCGTTGGTGCCTGCCGGATAAGCAGCTTGCCATGGCAAGACTTGTCTTTCGTCTGCGACTTGGCTTCATTGTCGCCACCCACATTGTACGTCAAGAGCACCATGACCGCGGCCCTGCTCATCTCTGCGGCATTCCTAACTCGACCCAGGGCAAGATCCCACTGCTCTTTGGTGAAGCCCATGGAGTCGCCATTGTCCTCGAGCCCGAGATCAAATAGCGCCTCACCATGCCCTTCATCTATCCTGGACTGTAACAGCTCCGACAACTGCTGCAGTGTCTTATGGGCGCTGTCCGAGGTGTCAAGTAGCCAGTCCTTCAGTCTCACCTGGCTGGGACTATCGGAGAGATTCAGCGAGTCGAGGATGTCGAGTTCGGCGTGGTCTTCGGTCGCGGACTCGGCGTGCTGTGTGCGGCTTTTGGCTTGTTGTTTCTCGACATAGTCGGCAAAGTCGGAGAGAGCCTGCAACTGGATCAGAAGGTGTAACTGCAAATGCAAGACTACGAACAAGCTCTCCCTTCCGGCGATCCTGCAGGGTCTGCTTGATGCGAGTCCCCATATTCACTTCCTGCAGAGACTGAGACAACGGATTGAAACGAATAGCACGTAAGAACAAGGATGATTCGCCCCCGCGCTCAGTGAGGTATTCGAGGGATCATGGTTGACGTGTAAATGTTGGGCGACTCCGCGGGTTTCTAGTGCAGAAGAAGCGTCATGACCTAGGATGTGGGATGACTGCAGGCGAGACGAAGGTTCGATGTGATGTTACGGAAGAGAAATATAGAGTCGCTGGGGAATCTAAATACACCGGCGGAGGAGATCGTGGTCAAGTGTTGGAGTCATTGATAGCGGGGAAGACGCCTCACAAGACGCGCCGCAGCGACTGAGTCATCCCCACGCCGATACGGACACGGCCTCTTCATCTGCTGCCTGTGGCGGCTGGGCGTCTTCAGCATAGCCCCTGTACATACTGGGTACATGACGTGTATCAGCTCGTCGAGCCATGCGTCCCTCAGGAATCAGGGCATATGACTGATCGAACCAGCCCAACCCGATACCTGTATGGAGTAACTGCATGACCACGCCAAGTGTGACTCAAATCCGACCGACGAGGCTTGCCCATGATCCTCTGAGCCATAATCTGGTCTCCATGATGGTGCGCGACGTCAGGCTGGTGCTCAAGATGGCACTTTGGAGAGGCCCCATAGTCTTTCGGTTTGGCTGTAGTTCGAGATTCGTCAAAGCGAATGAACGCCGGTTCTCACGATGCGGGCTGAGGGGAGATGAGCACGACGGAATCTCCTGCTTCCGATCAGCAACAGCTGCGAAGCATTGCGATAATGGCCTACCTCGAACAAAGAGCATGTCTGATTGCTTCTTGGTCGTCTAGCTCGTCGTCAGTAGCGGTCCGATCAAAGGAGGCCGCGAACAGACCTTGACTGTCTCCTCGCCGTCCTCTTCCTCCTCAAAGGTATAAATTGTTTCCTCGACTTCGCCGAGCACGAGATTGCAATGGCTGTCGTATGCCTGCTTAGAAGTCAGTCCACACTTTGAACCTCGCTCGAACGATGGTGCAGATGTATCCTTACATGTAGTCTCCCCTTCAACTCGCGGTCACCTCGAAGCCGGACAAAGACAATCTCGTCGAGGGACAGACGCACGAGGTCGAGCGGCTCTGAAACTGCATTAGCTCCATCGTCCGTTGAATCGGCCATGCTGAGGATTGGTGTTGTAATCTTGTCGGGTGTCAGTTTCGCTGGCACGGTGGAGGAGAAACGCTCATCAATGCCTCAGTCTTCGCTCAGTTGAACACTTGGCGTCATTTGAAATTTATATGTGAAATTCATGTTCGCGCTGCTTCCTTCGACTCGGGACTTTTCAACTGCGCTTTCAATGCCTTAGCTGCCATTCCTTTCAGCTCCGGGTTAGTTGACCTGTCGTTGCATGGTGTATTTATGCATGGCTCGCTGCCTCTGGCGAGGTTGATCAATGGCGTCTCACCACCCTCGCCCAGTCGCATCCCGCATCTAACCTTCCACATCCTCCGCCGACTCTCTCCTTCATCCGCGCATTGGACCTCGAAGTTATGCCTCCCGAGTGCACACAATCTACAACATGTCAAGCGCCTCTCCTCCACCACCGCGCCCTCTACGCTTTGGGAACCTTTCAAGCAATCTCCCTCCCTAGGTGAACGCGATGGATTCGGCTCGGTCAAGGGGGAGGCGAATGGGGAGTCAGCGTCTGATCCCCTGTATGAAGCGAAGACATTTGTGACGATGCAGAAGCTGCTGGAGGAGAACAATCCTGATCGGATACTCTTGGGCCTGGTGACTCCCCAGATTGGGTATGAGTTTATCAAAACTGCAGATGATAAGGCGTTCGCACGTGCCATATGCGCTCTGGACCCAGAGCACTTTGTCGTGCCGTACCGAGACATGTTTCGCTACATGAAGCCAAGCTTGGAGACACAACCGAAGCATCGCGTAGTCAAGTCACTGGAAGAGCGCGTGGCTTCTTTCGTCAACATCCTCGACTCGTTAGTCACTCAACGACAAGAACATGGCCACGCGCTTGGCCTCGATATCTATCGCCATCTGCTTCGATGTACAGCTGCAGCAGGTATTGGGTCTTTTGCCAGAAATGTCTTCCGCGAATTCATGCCTGGAGAAGAGATCGTGCCAGATTTGGACTGCTACAACTACTTCATGGAGGCGCTCACGTGGAATGACGCTTACAGCAGGCACGAAAGATACAGGCTACGGATAGTCACGCACAACATGTTGCGTCGCTCTGGCGAAACCAGACCCCTCGGATTCCGCGGGCACGGAGTCGCCTCGCCTCTCAATCCAAAAAACCAGGAATCGATCCGGCTTGAAATATTGAGCATTTTCAACGAGCTTGTCAACCAGGGTCTCAATGGCAACGAGGCAACGTTCTGCAACCTCATGGTCGCCATGGGTCGTGAAGGCGATCTAGGCAGTGTCAAGAGCGTCCTAAAATCGGTGTGGAATATCGATGTTGAGGCTCTGGACAAATTCGACGAGGAGGAGTTGGAGAGTCCGACATTCTACGAAGAAGGCTCGCCGCTCCGACCTTCTGCCCGGTTGCTTACTACCGTAGTGCATGTCTTCTGCACGAACAATGAAGTTGCCCTTGGTGGTATGCTCCTCGATTACATCTCGCGCAATTACAACTTGGCCATCCCCGGATACACCTGGACGCTTTTGCTCGAGTGGACGTACGTCTTGTCCATCCAGAACAGAAAGTCCCGGGTTGATAGAGGTTTTGGCGAAGGCCGTATCGCAAGGAGAGCGGTCGAATCAGTCTACCACGTCTTCCACAATGAACCATACAACGTCAAACCCAAGATCGTGGATCTTATCTTCCGCTTCAAAGCCCGTGCCGTGGCCAAACGACTTTTCCCAGCAGTGTACGACCTTCGCGAATGTATGGCACTGCTTGAAGAAGAGAGGGCTCGCCTCTCGGAGTTATATGACCTACTGCGCAGGTGGATCAAAGATGGAGCCTACAAACTCATCTTCTCCGATGGCCTACCCTCGGCTGAGTTCCTCGACCTTAAACGCCGCTACATCCTGACGTCCCTGCATGTGGACTGTCACATCCAACTCATCTCAATTGGCGTTCGCAACACCTTCAAGAAGAAGAGCTGGACATCGACGGACGAGGGGACCGACTGGCCATATCGAGGCATTCCGGACTTGATCACCGAATGGCGGGATTGGCTCCCAAACATCCTGAGCTACTACACGCCAACGGGCCACGTCCGGCTATGGGGGAGAGACTTTCGCCACGCAGCGATCCAGTCGGCCAACAGTATGCAAACCACAAGAACAGGCTCGATGCGCTTGCTGCTCGACACGTACTCGCCCGTCCGACTCCGGCAGGCGACCGACTTTATTCACCACAGGGGACCGTACCATGCAACATTCCAAGCCGAAATGGACAACGATACCTCGGGCCGTCTGAGTGACTGGGTGATGCAGTATGAGTCGGCGCTGAGGCAGGAGAGGTTGACCGACCAACAAGTCGCCACCAGTGTCGTGGAGATGCCGGGACCTGATCACCTTGCCGAGAACTGGAGTCCCTGGGGCGGCATGTTTGATCACAAGCCGGCCTCCAAGCCGTACCAGGACTGGTGGGAGAGGGATGAGGATGACTCGAAGGCCGAAGACGAGGTTCACGGCAAGGACGCGTAAAGGGCGACGGCCATTCGAATCGTAGCGAACGAGGGCTCATGACTTGGGAGGAATCCGCCCCATTGTAATATCAACGTGATTGCCGTTTCTGTACATAGCGGTGCAAAGGAAGCATTGCCCTATGTGTTTATGTCTGTGTGTTTGTGTGTGTGTAAACTCTCCCAGAGAAGTAAAAGTGCACGTGCGTAATGCGACGTGCAATGTGCAATGTGCAACTTCAAGCCTAGCTAGGGATATCATAATAGTAATTCATAAAAGCACGATCGGCCACCCACCCCAACCCAGTTGAGAGAAATACTGTACGGGAGTACCCAGTAGTGACTCCCTTGCGCGGGCCGGCACCCCACGCCCATACGCATACATATCGCATGCACGCACCTAAAACGAGTGGCCACCTCGTTCTCACGTCGCGATGACCCTCTCCCTCCTCAAATCATTGACAACCATATACCGTCCCAGGCCGATCCAGCCCCACCGGAACCACACCATCTGGCTCTGATGCCCGCTGACCATGGCCTCCCGGGCCTTCCAATACCGCACGATGTCGTTGACAAAGACGACCCTCTCGTCCTTGCCGCCCCGCGCTTTCCCGCCCCCGAGCACCTTGCCGAACGTGGACGCGTAGATGCCGCTGAGGAGCGTGGGCACCGCGTCCAGGATGAACGAGTATTTCCGCAGGATGTTGACCGAGGGCAGCACGTACAACGACACGGGGCACGCGTAGCCACTGTAGCCGCGCATGATTTTCTGCACGAACAGCACGGCGCCGTGGTAGAGCGCCTTGTGGTTCGGGTGGGACGAGATGCCGTGCGGGTCGAAGGTGATGAGCACGTCGATGGTGGCTCGGGGCCCGTCGGGCTCTTTGGGCGCCGGCGGAGACGTGGAGGGCAGGGTGCGGGAGGAGGATTTTGTGTGTTTCGAGGATGGTGGTGACGATTTGGTGGGTTTCTTCTTGTCCTTGTCTTTCTCCTTCTCTTTTTCTTTGTCCGAGCAGGAGTCCAGGGATTGTTTGCTCGGGGGCGCCGTGGAAGCGGTGGACGGGCCGATGACATGCGGCGCAAAGGCGCTGGCTAGCACACGTGAAATGTCGTCGGCCTTCCAGTCTTGGGTCATGCCATCTTTGAACCGCTCGTCGTCGAGCACGAATACGTCTTCTTTCCGGCGCACGCCTAGTGTTACGGCTGCTTTCTCGAGCTCGACACGGCGAGTTGCGCCTAGTCCTTCGCTGTCGCCGGTGCTCATGCACAAGATCTTCAAGTGGTTCTGCAGCGAGGGGTGCGTGAGCGCTTGGAGGGTCGGGGAGAAGAACATCGACTCGTCGTCCGGGTGGGCGATCAGCAGGATGATGCGCTTGTTGCGCAGGTGGGCGGGCACGGGTGGGAGAGTTGTCGAGGTGAGGTGCCATAACACGAAGACGAGGACGGGGACGAGGGTAAAGGTGAGGATTGTTGTGAAGGCCATGGCTACGGAGAGATGGTGGGTGATGAAGGAGGAGATAGAGGCGGGACCGCGCGAGGCAGGACGGTCAAACGTGCCCTCGCGCACAGCAGGAGAGGTGGGAACAATCGCTAGGAATATGTCGGTAGGGTCGTGAACTCGCCGTCGAGAGGCAGAGAGTTTTCAACGGTAGGGCGCGGATATTACACCAAGTGGTCGCATGCGCGGCGCGAGACCGACAGCCAGGCGGAAAAGTTCATAGCGGGGAGTATGTATACTCGCACATGAGCGAAAGAGAAGAGAAGCACCTACGAGGAGACATGCAACCCAGAGGAAATGGTCTCAAGCCATGCATGAACCAGTGGAGTATCAAGTCGCAGTCGAAAGAAGCGGTAAAGGTGGCCAGATGCGGTTGATCAGTTCGCGGTGAAATGGAACGAAACTCTGCCTGCAATTGGAATTGGGCGCGTCGCATTTTGTCTCGTGAACCCCACCGCCTGATGAATTAGTCGGCCTTCAATTTCGGAGCCGGAATCCATTGGCGCGGCACGCATCGTCACGTGGCGTGCGAAGATCAGAGAGACGCTGGTCGAGATGAGAAGGTGGTATCATTGCTTGGATGGGGGGCCAGATTTCTTCCTGTGGTTGCTCGTTTACTGTGCCGGTGGGAGCCTCGGGGTGTGAGGGCGTGGTCACATATTACGAACAGCATCTACGGTATGGCGGGCAGGACATAACTCACATCTGGACCACCTCAGCCTTCGCTGGAGCCTCGACGGGAAAAGTCACGTCACTCTCGACCGCCGGCTTACGGAGAAATGCGTGCCGGGCGGATGGACGATGAGCACCATGAGAGACTTGGAGATGCAGTTTGTGTCAGCAAAATATCATTAAATGACCGATCGTAAAGTGAGACCAACCACAAACTCCACCAAGCAATCCTTGCCGACACCACTGTGCTTTGCACCCTGCTGTTCTCGCCCTGATGTTGTATTCTTGGTGAATTCGGATACAGATGACTCCATCGCAGCCATGGTCGTCTCTTGATCTTGCAGATCATGCGCTTGAGGTTGCCCTGTTGCAATAAGCTGTCGCAGCACGGTCCTGCGTGGTTTGATGCTGTTTCCGACGCCAAGTACACGGACAGCCCCGGCCCCAGATGTTTCCAACGCGCGATGGTTCTTGACCTTACTTAGTACCGATATCTGGTCGAGTAGTCTTTGGGCGAGACCACTAAGCCCCTGCCCTTCTTGGCGCCTTTGTAGATTGTTTCGATAATGTCAATGAGCTCTTGCTTGTCTTCCAGGACCCAGTTGAGCTTGTTGTTGTTGCCCGTGCCAAAATCGCACATCATGTGCTTGTTGCGGAAGAAGAACATCAGGGTGACAGGGTCGTAGAGTTCGTACATCTGCTTGAAATCGGGAACCTGATCGAGGTCACAGACGTAGATGACGGCAAAGTTCTTGACGCGTTCGGCGACTTTGTAGAGCACCTCGTCCTGACGCATGCAGTCGGGATCCCAGTCGCGACCAAAGCGGATGACCACAAGTCGTTCGTCCTCGGACAGGATAGCCTGGTCGACGTGCCAGGCAGTGACCAGGTGAGGAATGACAACGGAACCCATGGTGGGAGCAGTGTTACGATCGACGATTGATTAGCTGTATTGTTCGCGTTCTCTCAAGGTCGTGGTGTGAGGAGAGGAGTGATGAGAGGGAGAGGAGCAGGCGAAGGAGCGTTTGGAAGATTCAAGAATGAGTTCCAGGCAGTGACATGCGCTTGCAAGGCCGGACCTTGGCGGGACGCTAGCCTTATCGATAACAACGCGAACCCCGCAAAAAAAGTTTGAGCCCCGGCTTCGAGCGCTGTAGGCACGCGGCTTTCTCTCTCTGGCATGACATCTCATTATGCTGGTACCGGCGGCACGATACAAGATGGCATCCCCTGGCACCGAAGATAGATCAGCAGACCCCATATCCATCCTACGAAAAGATCTGACTTCCGAGAACGTCCCTCTCGCCCGTCGATTCCGCGCCCTCTTCTCGTTGAAACATGTTGCCTCCCAAACTCCTGGCCCACAAACCACCGCAGCCATAGAAGCGATTGCAGCAGCCTTTACATCACCATCTGCCTTGCTGAAACATGAATTGGCATACTGTCTCGGCCAGACGAAGAACTTGGAAGCAGTCCCGTTCTTGCGTGCGGTTCTCGAGAACAGATCAGAAGATGCAATGTGCAGACATGAAGCAGCTGAGGCACTAGGTGCGCTGGGAGACCTTTCGAGCCTACAAATCATGAAACAGATGAAAGACGACGAGAAAGAACCGTTGGTAATCCGAGAGACATGCGACATTGCCGTGGATCGCATCGAATGGGCGCATTCTGAGGATCGGAAGACCGAAGCCCTCAGATCTAGCGACTTTGCCTCTATCGATCCTGCACCTCCCCTGCCCTCATCCGCAGAGGCACCCTCAATACCGGCTCTACAACAGACACTCCTTGACACGTCGTTGCCTCTTTTCCAGCGCTACCGAGCAATGTTTGCACTGCGAGATCTCGCTTCTCCACCAGATCTTCCCACAGCCGAACCAGCCGTTCATGCCCTCGCTTCTGGCTTCGGAGACCCATCAGCACTATTCCGACATGAAGTCGCTTTCGTTTTCGGCCAGCTTTCTCACCCCGCCTCGATACCTTCATTGTCGGCTGTGCTGGAGAACTCCAAGGAAGAGAGTATGGTTCGACACGAGGCTGCGGAAGCTCTTGGCAGTCTAGGTGAAGAGCCTGGCGTGGAGGATTTGCTGAAGAAATTTCTGGATGATCCTGAGCAGGTGGTTCGCGAGAGCGTAATTGTTGCTCTCGATATGGCCGAGTATGAAAAGAATGGAGAAATGGAGTACGCAACCGTCCCGACAGCCATCACTGCATGATGGAAGGAATCACAGCAATGGTGGCGGTTTCCAATGGTTTAATTGTTCTGGACATCCTTGAAACCGCATTCGCATCTGTAGAAGACTGTTGTGCCTTCATCGGCACTCCGTAATTGCTTGGTATGGTAGAACATTTCCGGTCTGTGACACTCTGGGCATTCCCTGGAGATGACGGCTTCAACCTGTAGATCTTCGGCGTTGATTGCCTGGACTTCCGAGTGTTTGGCTCGTAGTGCCGACGGGAAAGCGCTAGGCTTTGACCTGGAGGTGATGACCTTGGAGGAAGTGTCTTTTGTGTATTGGAAACAGTCGTCGCATTTGACCATATCATCTTTGTTCTCGCCCGGCACTATCCGCGGCAAAAGCGAACCGCAAGCATCGCAGAAAAGCAGGCTCCCTATGGCAACCATGTTGTTTTCTTTTGGTGGTTGAAGAGGCTCGAAGTTCAAATTTTGCCTTGATTGCTTAGTGAAATCTCCAGATAGCCGTGCCGCAGATCGTGCCTGACTAGCCGAAAACGGATGAGGGCGATCGCCGCGAGACCTTCTCCCGCAGTTTAGCCGAGCGCATCACCACCAACTCCGGAGAATCTAGCGCAGCGCAGCCTGGCGTCTCTGCCACTCCGCAAGCAGTTGCGCCCGCATTGTGTAAAGAAGCCTCCATCAACAACACGCCCTCTGGAGCGATACGTCGGGGAGAATATGCCGTCGATGGCTTGGATACCCGCAACAGCCCAGCTCAACCTACCGTCGTTTGCGCCCCGGAATCTCTTTTCGTGATAACTGGACCGGCGCATTCGCTCAATAGAGGCACCCACGATGGCTGCGAGCGACACCATTGAGGTCGTCGTCCCCAGACGACCCCAGAATGGCTCTCACGGAAGACAGCTTTCGGTGGATCAGGCTCTGCAGTATACTCCGATGACCACTTCGGTTCTTCCTGCTCACGGTATGCTCCTTCCTCACTTGTGCCTCACCTCACTTGGATGGCCCGTCGCATGCTAACACCGTTCACCAGACCGCATCCCTCTGCCTCAACTAGGTCGCCTGACTGACCCGCGCCTCACTTCTCCTTCTGAACGCAAGGCGGCATATCGGTCCGAACAGTTCACTCCCAGAGTCAAGGAACGTCTGGCCGTCTTGCTCGACCCAAGCCGTCTATCTGAGATCAAGTTCAGGCGTCCTCCAGTTCAAGATGAGGACAATACACAATCTGGACTGCATTCGATACCGACTATGATTCTCAATATGTCAAAGATGGACTTCACATATCCTTCATCATCACCAGGAACTCATAAGAAGCCAACGATTCAGATGCCCGTCACCAAATCCTCATCTACCAAGTTCGTTGTAGAGGTCCCGAAACCGCCTCCCTCATTCAGTCGAGATGGTTATCCTACCATCCCAGACTCACCCAAGAAGAAGAAACTGGTAGCGCTGAGCTCGAAGCGAGAGAAAGACGACCGGCTATTAGCGGACTTCGAAAATCAACTCGTTGAGATCTTTGAGGCTCAAGATCAACTCGCATCAGATACAGTTGCAGGAAGTTCGAAATCTCATTCTGCTATATTTGATCTGCCTGACGATGACGATGATTTAGAAGAGCCGCGCCTCACAATCCCAGTTCATGAGAAATTGCAGGCTGTCATGAGTCAGCTGGTCTCTTCTGGCCGCCTCGGCGATGCTCCGACCGAACATCTGCAGCGTCTACAACGATTATGCGAGCCTGCGATAGAAGCAGCACAAACAGTCAATTTGCGAGTGCCCTCGGAACCGTCAGATGAGGACATGTCTACCTGGCTGGCGAGGCTTCACAAGGGAACCAGCGGAGCCGCATCAGCATGCACCCTGATTTACACCTCCTTGGGATCATCTCGAAACCTTGAACTTGTCAACCTGGAAGCACTGCAATGGCTCCCAAACGTTCTGGTAAATCTGTTCGAAAACTGCCTGATTCCAGTTGTTGAAGCTCGTCCGGATGGGCAGCACAGTCAATTGTTCAGTTTCGCATCCTCGCACTCCGACCCGCTCAGGCGCTTGTTAGATATTGGCCGCAAACTATTGGATCTTGTGGCAAGGGTCTGCGTGGATATCAAAGGAG